TAAGAAATCATCCCGAGTTTACAGAGAACATTTTGTATGTGGAGCGATGACAAAACAAAACCCTGATCCCTCACTCAGCCTCGGTTATGAATTTAAAAAGTCAAAAAAGCCAAAGTGAAAGGCTCCAACTGTTCACCAAGAAACACCTTCCACTGCAAAGAGACCAAGACGTGATGTTTCTGTAAAACCACAAGAACAAGAAAGTGCAGCTCAGTCTGTTTGTCTTCTGCTCCTCTCCATTAACAAACGGGATTTTATTTTGTTGTTGCTCCATGTACAAAATGTTCTCTGTAAACTCGGGATGATTTAGTCAGACAAATGTTTCCTTTTTGGTTCTTCCTGTGGATCAATCCTGCCCATCGCCTTCACCTTTCACTATTTTTCAATTCCGTTGGGAAGAGAAACAGTTTGAACGGAGGTTTGAGTCACACACATCTGATTCACTTTTGCATTTATGGAGTTCACAAACAAATTTCTTGAGTCGTTTTCCGCTGTTTGGATCCAACAACAACACAATTACGACGTCCGAATTCCACAACTAAAATATGACAATATCAGAACCAGAAACAAAAGTGATATGGTTCAAAAGAAAATCCTTCCCAGTATGGATTGCATGATGACCGGAAGTCCGAGATTCATGACGCATCTATAGGTCAATGATCTATGAATAAGAAATCGGTCATTTTTTCTTCTTTTCTTCCTCCACATCTTCATATTCTTCATTTAATTTGTCAAGGAGAGACTCTACAGTTTCTGCCTGGTATTTCTCTTTCAGTGTTTTCAGTGTTTCTGTCTTTGTGACGGTCTTGTTTTCCCATCTGTATTTCTCGATCGAGTGGTCATGCCAGTCACATTTTCCAGGACACACAGTGCAATCTCCATCTGCATCAAATACTTCACATGTGTCCATTTCTTCGTTGTTTCTAATGGGACATGGATAATGACAGGTGACAAAACATTCCCTGCAGTTGTTGCTGTGCTCTTCAGTTCCAGAGAGGTCCACCTGATCACCCACAGTCACAGTGAATTCAACCTCAAAATTCTCATTTTTTTTCATCTCTTCCCGGTGGTCCTCTATTTGTTCACGTGTCTGCTCTATCTCTTTAAGTCTTTTTGATAATAATCTCTCCTTCTTCTTTTTATCTTTCCACATGTCTGTGGTCAAAACCAACTTTCCAGGCTCAGTTTTCTCTAAGTCACTAAAGAACCTCGTCATGTTTTTGTTTCCCATGTCCCAGAACATTTGAGTAAAACTGTCTTCTTCTGCAGAGGTCTGGTTTGGGGCGAACACTGCAGAGTTGTTGAATTTGAAGTGGACTGGCAGACCCTGCTCTGTTTTAGGACATGGGACTCCAGCAGCTCTGATGTCCTCAAGAACTGGAGGCATCTGAGCATCTACGTATGTCACCAGAATCTTGAGGTTTTCAAACACATCTTTCCCAAAGCTGGAGTGGAATGAGTCTAATAAGTAACGCAGGGCTAGAGGGAGTCGAGCTAAACACGACTGGAGCACTACACAGACTGTATGAACCTCTGTGATGTTCAAATCATTGAAGAGGTCAAAGATCAGCTCCAGGGTCTCACGGTCTTCCTTGATGCCTGTAACATCTCTAAACTCTGGAGTGTCGATGATGGTGAGTGAGAAGTCGACCTGGAATCCCTCCTGGTGGTTTATTTGATACACCACTGTGTCAGAAGTCTCATCCTCGTATATTTTAAATCGAAATGGGTCGGTCCATCTGACTCCCAGGATGTAGTTGATCATGGCATTGATGAGACTGATCTTCCCAGATCCCACAGGTCCGACAAGCATCATGATACGATTTTCTTTATGACTTTTCTTTCCAAACACATATTTTCTGACATCAGCAGTGCTCGGTTCTTCTGCTTTTAGACCAAGTTTGTAGATTTCTGGTGTTCCAGACTTGATTTTGACAGAGTCTTTTACGATGAGTTCTGCTGCAGTGAATGTTTTGGTGGTGATGGTCACAGTGGAGCTTTCTGAGATGGTTCCGTCCTCTCCATAGTCACAGAAGATCCTGAGGATGTACTCTGTCTGAGGCTTAAGTCCAGAGATCACCTTCTCCTCAGAATGGGACTCTTCTCTCCTCCACTGGAGTGTGTCTCCGGTCTCAGCGTACTCCACGATGTATCTGAGGATCTGGGCGCCTGGTCCCAATTGTGCAGGTCTCCTCCAGCGGGCGTAGATCTTTGAGGAGGTGGACATGGCGCTGGGGTCTTCTGGAGGGCCGCAGGGTAAGGTTTTCATGGAGGTGTGAGGAGCAGCTGGACCTACTCCCGCCTCAGTGACGGCTCTCACTGTGAAGCTGTACTCTGTGTTTGGGATCAGGCCTGTCACTGTGACCTCTCCAGCTTCAGCCTGGAGCTGCTGCTTCCACTGCTCCTGTCCTTTCTCACAGAACTCCACTCTGTATCCACAGACGTTCTCCGCTCCCACTGAGAGAGCTCTGACCTGCAGACTCACGCTGTGCGCTGTGGCTCTGCTCACAGTCACTGAGTCTGGTTTAGAAGGGAGCTCAAAGCTCTCACTGCTGAGGAACCCGTCTTCATAAAGATAGATGGTTGCTTCTTTATGGTTTTCATCAGTCAAACCCACTGCCAGGAACCGAAGAGCCATTGTGTCCTGATCTTTATTGGCGTCTGCAAAGTCACCAAACACCTTTGCTTTGAGTCTCATTTGGTGGATCATGTCTTTAGTCTTGTACCAGGGTGTGGGCTCTGCTCCAGACTCGTGGGTTTGAATCCCCTTTAGGTGGTTCTTCAGTTCTTCGAGGTACGGCTCTGCCCTCTCCAGAGACGTGAACACAAACACCAGGACTTTCTCTGAGTCACGCACCTTCTTCATGAGGTCATTTTCAGAAGAGACGACTTCTGTGTTTTTCATCAGATTTGTGAGGGTGTTTAAGGTGTTGGTCTCCTTAACGACCTCGTTCATCCACTGGTTCAAACGGTGAGAGCTGAATGGACTCTCTGCTGCCCTCTTCAGGACTTCTGCCAGAGCAGCCTCCTCCTCTCCTCCTCCTCTGATCGATGGAAGCTTCGTGGCCAGAGTTCCCTGGAGTCCCAGGAGGAACTCGGAGCACAAAGAGTTAAAGGTTTTGACTTTTTCAGAAAAGTGTGAGAAGTTCTGCCCTGCAGGACTCTTCAGGACATCATTACAGATCATGTCCAGCTCCTTGAAGTTCTCCAGGACGTTCTCTGCCTCACAGACTAACCTCAGACTGATGTGACGCACCAGTTTAGATGCTGTAGGGTCTAAGGCGCTGAGGGGCAGCAGGTGCACCCTCACAGGGACTGCGTTCTCACCTTTGGGGCCCAGAAGTTTGGGCAGGTCTTGATAAACTTTTACTGCTTCATCAAATGTCGTTGGACTTTTGTCTAAACAGAAATCTCCATGAAAAGTGCAGGAGAACTTGTTCACCTTTTCTTTGTCTCTGTCCTCCATTTTCAGATTCCCTCCTACATCAAATGAGACCTTTGGAATTTTTTCAATCATCATCTTCAGGCTTCCTTGAATGTCTCGGACATTTTCATCTTCAGATGTTTCCTGGTCGAACACAAAGAAGGCCTGGGCTCCGTAGAGGATGGCTGTTACTACATGTGTGGCTAGACCTTTTTCAATAACCTCCTGGTGCTTTAAGTTGTCTTTGCTGAGCTGGTTCATGGTCAGTGTTTTAAACTCTGTCGTAGTTTTGTACTGCAGAGTGGCACGGGCCTGTCTTCTGGAACTTTTCTTATCGTTCAGATATTTTGCTGACCCTTGTACGGTCACAAGTCCACTCAGAAAACTGAATTTGAGTCCACCGTCCACTCCGAGTGAAGAGGCCTTCTCAGAGAGGTGGTCAGACGCCACGATTTTAAACTGAGTGCTGGGTTTAGGAGTCACTCTCATGTCTTTGTCCAGCTTCTCCTGGTCCCAGAAAGTCAGGCCTGAAAAACAAGAGGTTTATTTGGATTTGAATAAATACAAAGTGATTCTAATAAAGACGAGATACATGTGTGACCTCTGCCTGTAGTGTTCGTAAGTCTGCACAGTTTAAGTGAAATGAGGAAATGTGATGGAGCAGCAGAGCTCTGAGTCTGAGCTCAGGGAGCAGGCTCCGCCCAGGACATGGTCGGGCAGTGCCCCAATAAGTATCATGCTGAGCGAGGCAGTGACTGACCTGAAAGATAAGATCATGGCCCAAATGAACACAAGGCAACCCCGATGCCAGTTACAGAGGCTAAGTGAAGTACCATCTGAAAGTCTCCTAGACAATGTGAATGCAGCACTGAGAGCGATGAGAGCAATCCCTACCACAACAATCACTGAAACCAATGAGCTGATATACACTTCAGCAGCAGTGATCCTAGAGGTGTTGGGCTATAAGAGCAACCATGGGAGCCATGAGATACAATACCCACCATGGAAAAGACGGTTAGAGGCTAAAATGAAGGAGGCGCGGAGAGAAGTGAGCCAACTGTCAGAGGCCCAGAAAGGTGCAATGAAAAAGCAAGTACCCAAGAGGTACAACCAGATGCCCGACCTGAAGCACTCAAAACTGCCAAACAAAGGCTCCAAGCCTTGGCCAGCCGCCGAAAGAGGTACACAAGAGATAACGAAGCCAGACAAATAAACCGGCTGTTCACAACACAACCGGCGAAAGTGTACGCTCAGTGGCAGGGTTATAACACCAGAGCAGACCCACCAAGGCTGGAGACTGAGAGGTACTGGAAAGGCACATGGGAGAGGGAGGCATCACATAACACAGATACACAGTGGCTGGTGGATCTGAGAGAAGACCACAGCAACCTCCCTGAACTGAATCCAGTCACCATCACAGTGGCAGACATCCAGGAAACAGTCTCAGGTATGAAAAACTGGACCAGGCCCTGACATGATCCACGCATATTGGCTAAAGAAGCTCACTGCTCTCCACGAGCACCTGGCAGCACAAATGAACCAGCTGCTAAGGGATGGGACACACCCTGAATGGCTAACCCAAAGGCGTACGATCCTGATCCTGAAGGATCCCTCAAAGGGTGCAGTCCCATCCAACTATCGGCCAATAACCTGTCTCTCCACAACATGGAACGTCATGTCAGGCATCATCGCGGCTAAGATAAGTGGGCATGGATGAATACATAAGCACAAAAGGGCATCGGCAAAAACACCAGGGGAGTCAAGCACCAATTTCTGGTTGACCGAACAGTCACCCAAATTGCAGAACCTGTAAGACCAACCTGTGCACTGCCTGGACTGAATACAAGAAATCCTCTGACTCAATGCCACACACATGGATCACTGAGTGCTTGAAGCTGTACAATATCAACAGGACTCTAAGGGCCTTCATTGCAAACTTGATGTGGTTGTGGAAAACCACCCTTGAAGCCAATGGCAAGTCACTTGCACATGTGTCCATCAAATGTGGCATATACCAAGGAGACTCACTGTCCCCACTGCTGTTCTGCATCTGAACCCCCTCAGCCAAATCATCGACCGCACTGGCTACGGATACTGACTCAGAAACGGGGCCACCATCAGTCACCTCCTCTACATGGATGACATCAAGCTGTACGCTAAGAACGAGACATCGACTCACTGATCTACACCACCAGGATCTACAGTACAGACATTGGGATGTCATTCGCTTGAGAAAATGTAGCAGGATGGTGACAAAGAGAGGGAAGGTAGAACACACAGAGGGGGTCTCACTCCCAGAGGGAACAATAGCAGACGTTGAGGACAGTTACAAGTACCTTGGTATCCCACAAGCAAATGGCAACCTCGAAGAGGCAACAAGGAAAGCGGTCCCTGCAGGAATCATGCACTGGCCAAAGGAGGAGATACAGACCACAGATGTTAAGACACGAAAGCTCCTGACCTGCATGGAGGGTTCCATCCCAAATCCATCACCCTGAGACTGTACACAAGCTGGAAGGAAGGAGGCCGAGGACTAGTGAGTGTGGGAACCACTGTCCAGGATGAAACATCCAAGCTCCTTGAGAACATATATATATATATATGTATAATTCTTCTGCTCTTTGAGGTCTAATTTCACCCCCTAAACACTTGTGTGGCAAAAAAGTGAAGTGGCAAAAAATTCGATAAAATATAGGTTGCGTAAAAAATGGCGACACAGCGCCACCTGGGAAACTCAAAAATATTACGCCTGTGGAAGACGTCCTGACGTTAACTTTGTCGTAGAGCCACGAAATTTGGTACAAACATTCGTCATGTGAAGACAAACAAAAAATATTATTATGGACATGCCCCCTGACACAGCAGAAGGCGGCCATCTTGGATTGAAGTTTGAGTCCGCATTTTCATTGACGTTGCGTTTGAACGCACTCCTCTGAAGGTGCTTCACCGACAGGGCTGAAAATCACCGTATATCATCTACAGAAGTGGAACATCTATCCATCCATCCATTTTCGTCCGCTTATCCGGGGCCGGGTCGCGGGGGCAGCAGTCTAACCAGGGACTCCCAAACTTCCTTCACCCCAGACACGTCCTTCAGCTCCTCCGGGGGGACCCCGAGGTGTTCCCAGGCCAGCCCAGAGACATAGTCCCTCCAGCGTGTCCTGGGTCTTCCCCGGGGCCTCCTCCCGGTGGGACATGCCCGGAACACCTCCCGAGGGAGACGCCCAGGAGGCATCCGGAACAGATGCCCAAGCCACCTCAACTGGCTCCTCTCGATGTGGAGGAGCAGCGGCTCTACTCCGAGCTCCTCCCGTGTGACTGAGCTCCTCACCCTATCTCTAAGGGAGCACCCAGCCACCCTGCGGAGGAAACTCATTTTGAGCGCTTGTATCCGCGATCTTGTCCTTTCGGTCACTACCCAGAGCTCATGACCATAGGTGAGAGTAGGAACGAAGACTGACCGGTAAATCGAGAGCTTCACCACAATGGTCCGATACAGCGACCGCATCACTGCCGAAGCTGCACCGATCCGAGATACTTGAACTCCTCCACTTGAGGCAGAGACTCCCCACCCACCCGGAGAGGACAAGCCACCTTTTTCCGGTCGAGAACCATGGCCTCAGACTTAGAAGAGCTGATCTTCATCCCAGCCGCTTCACACTTGGCTGCAACCCGCCCCAGTGCACATTGCAGGTCCTGGTTCGATGAAGCCAACAGGACAACATCATCTGCAAACAGCAGAGATGAGATCCTGTGGTCCCCAAACCGGACCCCCTCCGGCCCCTGACTGCACCTAGAAATTCTGTCCATAAATACAATCAACAGAACCGGTGACAAAGGGCAGCCCTGGCGGAATCCAACATGCACCGGGAACAGGTCTGACTTACTGCCGGCAATGCGAACACAGCTCCTGCTCCGGTCATACAGGGACCGGACAGCCCTTAGCAAAGGGCCCCGGACTCCATACTCCCAGAGCACCCCCCACAGGACACCACGAGGGACACGGTCGAATGCCTTCTCCAAATCCACAAAGCACATGTGGACTGGTTGGGCAAACTCCCAGGAACCCTCAAGCACCCTATGGAGAGTGTGGAACCCAACTCCTTGAGAGGGGCTGGACTCTCTGTTTCTCTGGCGTTGGCCGCGGGGAGCGGCGGCGGGCTGGTGTGGGCTCATTGCCCCACAGCTCAGCCGTTGTGTGTTGGAGTTCACCCCGGTGAACGAGAGGGTCGCGTCCCTGCGCCTTCGGGTCGGGGACAGGTATCTCACTGTGGTGTCGGCCTACGGGCCAAACAGCGGTGCTGAGTACCCGGCCTTCTTGGAGTCCTTGGGAGGGGTACTAGACAGTGCACCGAGCGGGGACTCCATTGTTCTCCTGGGGGACTTCAACGCCCACGTGGGCAACGACAGTGACACCTGGAGAGGGGTGATTGGGAGGAACGGCCTCCCCGATCTGAACCCGAGCGGTGTTTTGTTACTGGACTTCTGTGCTAGTCACGGTTTGTCCATAACGAACACCATGTTCGAGCACAAGGGTGTCCATAAGTGCACATGGCACCAGGACACCCTAGGCCGGAGGTCGATGATCGACTTTGTCGTCGTGTCATCTGACCTCTGGCCGCGTGTCTTGGACACTCGGGTGAAGAGAGGGGCTGAGCTGTCAACCGATCACCACCTGGTTGTGAGTTGGGTTCGCTGGCGGAGGAGGAAGCCGGAAAGACCTGGCAGGCCCAAGCGTGTAGTGAGGGTCTGTTGGGAACGTCTGGCAGAGCCTCTGTCAGTGGGACTTTCAACTCGCACCTCCGGGAGGACTTCACCCGGATTCCGGGGGAGGCTGGAGATATGGAGTCCAAGTGGGCTTCATTCTCGGCCTCTATTGTCGATGCGGCTGCTCGGAGCTGTGGGCGTAAGGTCTGTGGTGCCTGTCGCGGCGGCAATCCCCGAACCCGGTGGTGGACACCGGAAGTAAGGGATGCTGTCAAGCTGAAGAAGGAGTCCTATCGGGCCTTGCTGGCTCGGGGGACTCCTGAAGCAGCTGACGGGTACCGGCGGGCCAAGCGTGCTGCAGCCCGTGCGGTTGCGGAGGCAAAAACTCAGAGCTGGGAGGAGTTCGGGGAGGCCATGGAGAAGGACTATCGGACGGCCTCAGAGAGATTCTGGCAAACCGTCCGGCGCCTCAGGAGGGGGAAGCAGTTCTTCACCAACACTGTTTACAGTGCGGGGGGAGAGCTGCTGACCTCGACTGGGGATGTTGTCCAGCGGTGGAAGTAATACTTTGAGGATCTCCTCAATCCCACCGTCACGTCTTCCGAAGAGGAGGCCGAGGCTGGGGACTCGGAGGCGGAGTCATCCATCACTCTGGTCGAAGTCACTGAGGTGGTTGGAAAGCTCCTTGGTGGCAAGGCTCCGGGGTTGGATGAGATCCGTCTTGAGTACCTTAAGTCTCTGGATGTTGTGGGGCTGTCTTGGCTGACACGCCTCTTCAACATCGCGTGGCGGTTGGGGACAGTACCTCTGGACTGGCAAACCGGGGTGGTGGTCCCTCTGTATAAGAAGGGGGACCGGAGCGTGTGTTCCAACTATAGGGGGATCACACTCCTCAGCCTTCCCGGTAAGGTCTATGCCAGGGACTGGAGAGGAGAATCCGGCCGATAGTCGAACCTCGGATCCAGGAAGAGCAGTGGAACATCTAAAGTTATCTAATTTATTTTGATAACTGTCACGGTTTACGTGCGGCGAAGCGACAAATGTCAATCAAAATTTTGGATAATTTTGAATGTCAAGATTCTTCCCCGTTCACACAGGCTTAGTCCAATCGTGCTGAATTTTTAATCACTAATGCCTGATCTCAGCCTGAATATAATATACTAATATAACTGCAAGCGGCAATGATCCGCCCTTGGGTGCGCCTACGCTGCGCCTCGCAAACTCCACGCCCAGCAAACGCTGTGCCCCACAAAACGTCAGGCCTCACACTAACCCTAAAAACCCTAAATTTAAACCTAATCCTAGTCATAATCCTAACCATAGACCCAACCCCAACTCTAGCCCTAACTCTTAACCTAACCCTGCCATTTTACAAATTTTTTGCATGTTTATTAAAAAAAAAAAAAAAAAAGGGGCGTGGTCACAATATACATTTTTGTTGTTATTGCCATGATGCATCTGGTTACCAAATTTGGTTTGGCTACGCCAAAGTTTGTGTAAGGACGTCCCATTGGCAAGGACAGAATTTTTGCTTGTTGCCATGGCAACACAATGTAAATGGGGTTTGGACGTCATTGAGTTTTTTTTAATCGAGACCATGTCACAAATGTGGGAACCAAATTTTGTGTATCTATGACAAATAAAACATTATTGTTCTATACAAATGTTCTAGGGGGCGCTACTGCACCACTTTTGTATTTTCTTCCATCAGTCTGTTCAGGGTCGAGGCAGTAGCTCAGTTGGTGGAGCATTTGCCCACTGATCTGAAGGTTGGTGGTTCGATTCCAGCTCTCGACATAAACATCACAGGTTGAGCGGTCAGATCCACTGACCCACACGTTGGCTGGTGTGATTCTAGCTCCCACAGATGAATGCTGCTGTTGTGTCCTTGGGCAAGACACTTAACCCACCTTGCCCACAGTGTCTGTGTACACTGGTGTGTGAATGTGTGAGTGGTTCCTTGTTGTAAAGCGCTTTGAGCACCTTGAAAGTGGAAAAGCATTAAAATTTGAGTGAAATCAGCAAAAGTTTGTACGATTTGTCAATTTTACCAATGGAATATAACATGGAGAGTTTATGTCATCGCTATGGCAACACCATAAAAAATGTGACATGGGTGTCATTGACTTTTGGATCAGGATTGTAAAATGGAGATTTGTCCAAAATTTCTGAAATTTTATAAAAACTATTTTTTCCCCCCATATAAAATTTTATTTCGATCTATAGGGGGCGCTAACACACCAAATAAATTTTTTTCACATTCAGTAGCTTTAGGGCAGAGAGTTTGACAACTGATTCAAATTTAACTGAAATTGGAATTCATTTGTGCAAATGGGGCAATTTGTACATTTCCAAAATCTCCAAAATTGTGTTTTTGTATTTGTTGCTTCACTGCTCAGAGACCGTAAGACGTGTGTGAAAAATTTGGATAACTTTTGATGTTCCACCTCTTGAGATAATGTGGACCAAATTTGAGCTCGTTCGGGTGAACGCCCTCGGAGGAGTTCGTAAAAGTATGAAGTGTACAAAAAATGCTGAGTCATGTTTAGCAAAGTTTAATCCAATATTGCTGCCCCCTGGTGGAGCGCACGGTGTTGGTGTAATAATATTTTTTCTTTGTCTTGACATGATCGACTTCTGTGTCAAATTTCATGAATCAACATGCACATTTTTTTTGCCCTCATTCATATTCCCTAATGCATTTTTGAGTCGTTTGGGGGCGCTGACGAGACATTTTATTTATGTTTGGAAAATGAAAATTGCCAAAACTTAGAGAAGTTTTTAGAGAGTTTTACCAGATGGCAAAATTTACAGGACTTTTTGTCATCGTTTAGTGGGTGAAAAATGAGTGAGTAATTTTCTGATGCGAGAACAATGATCCATTTTTTTTTGGCCGACAAACTATACATTTTTGGAAACCTCTGGCACATTGCTACGTCATGGCGAGGGTCCCTGGTCACTACGGGCGAGTCACGTCGTGCCATTTCACTTTCCGGCCACTAGGAGCATCGCTTTGCGATACTAATAGGCCCTTCGCCAGCCTCTGGCGCTCGGGCCTAATAATAATAATAATTCAAGCAAAAATAATAAAAACATGGGAACAGCATATTATAAGTCTTTTTGAAAGCTCTCGACCTTCCCCATGTCACCGTGAGGTCATTGGTGAGTGACAGGCGCATGCGCTCGTCGTTGCCCATGCGTTCGTCGTAGTAAACTCTATAGGCCCTACGCCCTGTCGGGGCTTGGGCCTAATAAAAATAATATGTAACCCCTGGGTTATTTTATTATTATTTAGTGCGCAGTATTAACCTTGAAGTTTTCTCTCTGCAGTGCACTGTACCATTTTACACATTTACATTTCCAAACGTTTCACATTCACAGGTGTTTTCTTACATTACTGTTCTACTCATGTTCACACTTGTGTGTTCAGGTCAGTGCGTCCGGGCGTCCAGGTACATGTAAAGTCTTTGTGGACGCACGTTTAAGGCGTCTGGCGTTTTTGCGTCGCGTCTTCAGGTCGCGCTGCCAGAGTCAAATCTGTACATGATGTTACTCTTCACTTTTTTACTTAAGTATGAGACAAACATTTGTAAAAACAGCACATTTAACTGTACCACACCTGAGCAAACAGACGAGTGCACAGAAACATGGGCGTGACTGACTTTAGTGTGTTCATGTGTTCAGTGATTATGACAAGTCCCCAATTTTATGATTCTTTATCTCAAATTAAATGTTATTAAACATCTTTGGAGCCTTAGTTCCAAAGAACTAAGACTCCACTTTAAGGCTACAGGAAGTTTTTTTTACAAACCTTTCCATGGAAGCCCATTTCCTCCTCACAGAAAGTCATAATTATAAGTTTAAACTAATAATTACAAGTGTTAATTATGAGATTGTGTTTTGAATTCTGACAGAGATTACATTTGGCCCAGACCCAAATAACAAAGAGGAATGTGTCAGTGTCACGCCCCTTTACAAGTCTGATCCAAGTCCACAGAGCGTCAGACCAGAGACGACTTTGGTGCTGCATCATGTAAACAGCTTCAGGGAAACGACGCGGCTTTTTCAGACGACGCAAAACTATTAAAGTGAAGTGTTTTCTTCCAGACAAAAGGCTGGAGAAACTTTTTTTATGAACAGAGTCCCTGAGAACCACCACCATGTAGAGCTTTTCCTTAGACATGACTTCAAAAAAACTGAGGAATCACACCTTCTGACCCCCGACCCCTCTGTGCCCCCTGTGCCCCTCTGTGCCCCCTGTGCCCCTGTGCCCCTCTGTGCCCCCTGTGCCCCTGTGCCCCTCTGTGCCCCTCTGCCCCCCTCTGTTCCCCTCTGTGCCCCCTCTGTTTCCCCCTGCCCCTCTGTACCCCTCTGTGCCCCTCTGCCCCCCCTCTGTGCCCCTCTGTGCCCCCCTCTGTGCCCCTCTGTGCCCCCTCTGTGCCCCTCTCTGCCCCCTCTGCCCCCCTCTGTGCCCCCTCTGCCCCCCTCTGTGCCCCTCTGTGCCCCTCTGTGCCCCTCTGCCCCCTCTGTACCCTCTGCCCCCTCTGCCCCTCTGTGCCCCTCTGCCCCCTCTGTGCCCCCTCTGTGCCCCTCTGTGCCCCCTCTGTGCCCCCTCTGTGGCCCCTCTGTGCCCCCTCTGTGCCCCTCTGTGCCCCTCTGTGCCCCCTCTGTTCCCCCTCTGTGCCCCTCTGTGCCCCCTCTGTGCCCCCTCTGTGCCCCTCTGTACCCCTCTGTGCCCCTCTGTGCCCCCTCTGTGCCCCTCTGTGCCCCTCTGTACCCCTCTGTGCCCCCTCTGTTCCCCCTCTGTGCCCCTCTGTGCCCTCTGTGCCCTCTGTGCCCCCGCTGTGCCCCTCTGTTCCCCCTCTGTGCCCCTCTGTGCCCCTCTGTGCCCCCTCTGTACCCTCTGTGCCCCCTCTGTGCCCCTCTGTTCCCCCTCTGTGCCCCTCTGTGCCCTCTGTACCGCTCTGTGCCCCCTCTGTGCCCCCTCTGTTCCCCTCTGTGCCCCTCTGTGCCCCTGTACCCCTGTGCCCCCTCTGTGCCCCTCTGTGCCCCCTCTGTTCCCCCTCTGTGCCCCTCTGTGCCCCTCTGTACCCCTCTGTGCCCCCTCTGTTCCCCCCTCTGTGCCCCTCTGTGCCCCTCTGTACCGCTCTGTGCCCCCGCTGTGCCCCTCTGTTCCCCCTCTGTGCCTGTCTGTGCCCCTCTGTACCTCCTCTGTGCCCCTCTGTGCCCTCTGTGCCCCTCTGTGCCCCTCTGTGCCCCTCTGTGCCCCTCTGTGCCCCTCTGTGCCCTCTGTGCCCCTCTGTGCCCGTTCTCTTTCAGACGTACCTGGGACCAGTTTGTCAGATCTGCAGTCATAAAACATGCCCAGGAGAAAGGAGCGACCCAGAGCCGCCATCTCCACAGGTGAGTCACAGTCTGAAGCCATCTGAGCACAGGGAGAACATGCACGTTAGTATTTACTCTCGACTAAAACGACAGAAACATGAAACAAATGAGACTTTTCTAATGACCTCGTGATGATGTTATAAAGTGTGTCGTCCGGTGTGAGCGCGAGCGAGCGTCTGATGCAGAGTGAAGCAGATGCAGCTTTTATTTCCTGACAGAGAAACGCCCTGAAGTCCAACAGTTGTGGAATTTGTTTTTATACCTGAGAGTTTCGCCAGAACTTGTTTTATATCAACAGATTGAAGTAACTGAAAGTCAGGAATGAAAACCAACAAGTCTCGTGTCAAACTTGAAAAACAGTGACAGAGACAAATGTATGTGTATCTATATATATCTATATATCTATCTGGCCATATATTTATCTATATATGTATATATATATATATATATATATATATATATATATATATATATATATATATAATATATATATTATATATATATATATATATATATATATATATATATATATATATATATATATATATATATATATATATATAATTAATTAATTAATTAATAGATAGATAGATATAGATATACACACATACATACAGGAGGACGTTCTTCTCACTGTCGTTGCCCACGTGGGCGCTGAAGTCTCCCAGTAGAACAAGAATCCCTGGTTGGTGCACTGTCTAGTCCCTCCCAGGGCCTGGCAGAAGCCCGGGTACTCGAGTACTCTGCACTGCTGTAGGCGACACCACAGTGAGAGACGCATCCCCGCCTTTGTGACCCTCTCGTTCACCGGGGTGAACTCCAACACATGACGGCTGAGCTGTGGGGCAATGAGCCCACACCAGCCCCACCCCCCCCAACTCCAGAGAAACAGAGAGTCCAGCTCGTCTCAAGGAGTTGGGTTCTAGAGCCTAAACTGTGCTGGACGTGAGGCCGACTATATCTAGTCGGTAACACTCAACCTATCGCACAAGCTCAGGCTCCTTCCCCCCCAGCGAGGTGACATTCCATGTCCCCAGAGCTAGTCTCCATGTCCGGAGATCTGGTCGTCGAGGCCCCCGCCGTCGACTGCTGCCCAGATCTCTCTGCACCGGCCCCATATGGCTCCTCCTGCAGGTGGTGGGTCCACGTGAGGATGGCCCCACGTCGCTCCTTCAGGCTGAGCCCGGCCGGGCCCCGTGAGGAAAGACCCGGCCCCCAGATCCTCACTGTGGAGCACCCACCCCAGGCCTGGCTCCAAGGTGGGGCCCCGGTGATGCCGATCCAGGCGACGTAACCGACCTCTGAGTGGAAATGATCATGTAGAACTTCTGAACTGTTCTTCGTCTGACCCGACCTCCTGGACCAGGAGCGTGAAACCTCCAACAACACAACTCCAGGATCATTCAGGCGCTCAGACCCCTCACCCACGATAAGATGATCCACTTCTGGAAGTCAAGTTCACGTTTCATTTTTCTCAAAGACTTTTTGAAAAATCTAATCTGAGTTTGTGGATCTGAGTTTGTGGATTTCTCAAAATTACATCGTATCTGAAATCAGTGACTTCGTGTAACTGCTGATCCACAAATGCAAATCACATTTTACAAACAGAATTTTCAGTTTTACAAATGAAATTATTTTTTTAGAAATGAAAAAAACACATACACACACACACACACACATATATACACACATACACATCTATTTGTAAAGACCAAAATACAAGTTACAAATATGAAATTTGCATTTGTGGATCAAAACACATGAACATTTCATGAACATTCGAACATTTATAACCTTTTGTTCCCTCTGCAGGAGCCGTAAGCTTTACTCAACTCTCTTTTATTAGATTGTATTTTAATAAACATTTGTCCGTTTTATACTGTGATTTATAGCCTGGTTTTACATAACAATAAACACATTTTTACTTTTACTACATTTTAATAACTCATCATGACTCACAACTTTCTTTTGTTTTTTTTTTTTTTTTTACAAACCTTTCCATGGAAGCTCATTTCCGCTTCACAAGAGCTCATAATTATAAGTTTGTGTTTTGATCAGATCAGATTTGGCCCAGACCCAACGAACAGTTCTGTGGAAGAGGATCGTGTCAGTGTCACGCTCCGTTACGAGTCGGAGATCCTGATCTGATTCCGATGGAGCTTTGTCAGTCTAATCATCGCTCGTTCTGTGCCCGACCTTTAGTCTCCAGATTTTTACAACGACTTCATTCGTTCGACATCGTCCCGCACCGACCAAGAACTGAAAAGACACACGGGGCTAGAGGACTGTAAATATTTTGTGGCGGGATGTTTGGATTTCTGTGGACCTGGGTTCATTAAATCATTTAGTGAAGCCAGTTGTTAAAAACTCAGGTGTCAAAATGGACCCAGATCTAAAACTTGATCAGCAAATTAGTGCTGTTGTAAAATCTATTTTTTTCCAGCTAAGACAACTGGCCAAAATGAACGCAACACTTTGAAACGGTCACACCTGCATTTGTGACGACGAGACTGGATTATTGTGACGCACTTGATGTCGGTGAGACAAAATGCACTTTCCCGGTTGCAACGGGTCCAAAACTCAGCGGCTCGACTTTTAACTGGAACCCGGAAACACGAGAGCGTCTCACCTAGTCCACGTTCAGACTGCAGGGCTTAACACTCAATTCAAATTTTTTTGTGAAATCCGATGTTTTTGCGAGGTCATTCACATTTCCAGTTAAATGCGACTTGTGGGAGACAATAAAGGATTATCTTATCTTATCTTATCTTATCTTATCTTAGGGTGAACAAATGTCCGTTTTTCCCCGGACATGTCCTTATTTTGCGTCATGTCCGGGATGTCCAGGGTTTTTTTTTTAATAAAGTGATGCAAATGTCCAGGTTTTCAGTACCGTTCATTAAACTGAGCGTCTCTCATCTGTGACTCAGAAGGAGCGAGACACAAACAGTCGGTCAGTTTGAAACACACCGAAGCACAAATGTGGATTTAACAACGACTTGGACAAGAAATTCTCCGTTTTCCATCCCGGTCGAGACAAGTGTGAGTCCATGTGCACAGGTTGAGGTGAGAGGACAGTGTCCCTCGTTTATCGTGGGAGTTATGTTCTAAAAATAACCCACGACAGGTGAAATCCACAAAGTATCAACTTTATATTTTACAATGATTCTGTCTGTGTTAAGTCTGTAAAACCTCAGCACAAACTTTATACACTTTTCTCCGACAGGATCGACAGGTGCAACCCTTTTTACTTCCTTCTTTAAACTTGTTGCTGCTGTCGTCCTTTTGTTATTTTCCTTCTTCTTTATGTAACAAACTGAAGATTCATTTATTCCGTAATGGAGCCCAACAGCGCAGAGTCCTGCACGGGTCCTTTTTTGGAGACCCCAAGTACAACACCGCACCTGCGCAGGACAGGACCGCACCTGCCCGTTAACCCGAGATTATATCAAACTTTTGCGCTGCCTACGCCACAGACTGAACCAAGACGAAACCAGGACTAACCCAGGACTGATTCCAGGACTGAAGAGGAGGACTAAACCATGACTGAACTAGGACAAAAAACAGGACTAAACCAGAACTGAAACGACTCACTGTCAGGACGGCCTCGGAAGTGACGCAGGAGAAAGGACCGGCTCAGCTCCGCACCTCACGGAGTTAAACGCGGCAGTTGCCCGATCGCGCTTTGCGGACAACCTGCTCGGCGTTCTCTCTGTTAAGTCCAAGATTAGTCCTGGTTTAGACCTGGTTTAGTTCTGACCCACCCGTGTGTAATTACTACCCACCTGTAATACACATATAAAAAAAAAAAAAAAAAAAAAAAGGTGACCCGCCCCCTTTCCCCCCAAGGTGTCCGGGTTTTCATAAACGGAAATATGGTCACCCTACTGTATGTGTCTCCAGTGTGAACATTAAACGGTCCAAAAGTGTCCCACATGTGACACTGGAGACACGACGACGTCAACCTCAGCGAGCGTGATCTGTGTTTACAGAAGTTGTCCAAACATGGACGCAGCATCGAGCACCTGGAGATTTTAAAGTTCCTCTCGTACCGGAGCCAGAACATGAACAACTGACTTGTTTTAAGGAGGAGATTGAGAAGGAGAAGGACGAGTGTCACAGACGATCATGTCAGTGTATTTGTTTTTATAGTAATAAGTGAGAAGGTTTTTATTTTATTTGTTCAAGTATTGAGATGTGTCAGAATATTGCAGTTACTGTTTTTTGTGTTTTATTTGTGAATATATTTGTCTTTTGAGTTGTGCGACGGAAGTAGAAAAGACAAAAATAGTGGCGCGAAAAGAGAGAACGGGACAAAGAGAGAAACAGAGAGAGGTGTAAAGAGAAGGAACATCAAGATAAAAATACACTGTTTTAGTACCGCTGGGAGTGTCGGGAAGTTTACTTTTAAAATGTAATCCCCTACAGATTACAGATTACATATCCCAAAATGTAGTATGTAACGTAATCCATTAAGTTACTTAAAGTGAGTAACGTAATCTGATTACTTTGGATTACTTGATATTGTCATGTTTTTTAAAATGACATGAATGTAGCGACCACGTCCTGATAGAGAAATGATTTTTATATGAGACACTGATGCCGTAAATTATATCCACACTACTGTTAATGTCATATTGTTTAGACCTGGTTTAGACCTGGTTTAGACCTGGTTTAGACCTGGTTTAGTCTTAGTTTAATTGTTTAGTCCTGCTTTAGTCCTGCTTTTAGACCTGGTTTAGTCCTGGTTCAGTCCTGGTCTACTCCTGCTTTTAGTCCTGGTTTAGTTCTGGTTTTAGACCTGGTTTTAAACCTGGTTTTAGTCCTAGTTTACCAGACTAAAAAGGAAACATTTGTCTGACTAAGAAATCATCCCGAGTTTACAGAGAACATTTTGTATGTGGAGCCACGACAAAACAAAATCCTGATCCTTCGCTCAACCTCGGTTACGGATTTAAAAAGTCAAAAACGCCAAAGTGAAAGTCTCCAACTGTTCACCAAGAAACACCTTCCACTGCAAAGACCAAGACGTGATGTTTCTGTAAAACCACAAGAACAAGAAAGTGCAGCTCAGTCTGTTTGTCTTCTGCTCCATTAACAAACAGGATTTTGTTTTGTCGTCGCTCCACGTGACCTGTGACCAAATAAACGTAAAGTGGAGCTGAAACGAGCGAAACCCAATAAAAGTGAAGAACAACCTGAAGTTCTCGTCTTTATTCGGCACAAAACAGATAAAATATGAAGATCTGAGAAGAAGAAGAAGAAAAAGAAGAGGAGGGTCACTTCTTGTTGAAAAAGCCCATGATCGACGCCTGTTTGGTGGTTTTGGCGCCTGTCGGTCCCGTCTTCTTCTTCTTCTTCTTCTCCTCAGTCGAGGCTCCAGATCCAGATCCGGGTTTAGGACCAGGATTGGGACCTGGTTTAGTCTGGACCTCCTCCTCGGTCTCAGAGTACGACTCGCTCACGTAGCCCTTCTCCGTCACTGTGAACACAAGCCCTGGTTTAGTCTTGGTTTAGTCCTGGTCTAGTCCTGGTCCAGTCCTGGTCCAGTCCTAGTTTCATACCGATACATCCTTCTTCATCCAGGAACGTTTTGGATTTGAGAACTCGTCGTCTTTTCCTCGTTTTTGTCGAAGAATTTTCCGTCTGAAAAACAAACGTCTGAGCGTCAGAAGATCTGCCTCCAGAATCTTCAGCCACCTGACCTGAGGTCTGTGACCTGAGGCCTGTGACCTGAGGCGTGTGACCTGAGGCCTGTGACCTGAGGCGTGTGACCTGAGGCGTGTGACCTGAGGCGTGTGACCTGTGACCTGAGTTGTGTGACCTGAGGTCTGTGACCTGAGGTGTGTGACCTGAGGTCTGTGACCTGAGGTGTGTGACCTGAGGTCTGTGACCTGAGGTGTGTGACCTGTGCCCTGAGGCATGTGACCTGAGGCCTGTGACCTAAGTTGTGTGACCTGAGGCGTGTGACCTGAGGCGTGTGTTGTGTGACCTGAATTGTGTGACCTGAGTTGTGTGACCTGTGACCTGAGGCGTGTGACCTGAGGCGTGTGACCTGAGGCGTGTGTTGTGTGACCTGAATTGTGTGACCTGAGTTGTGTGACCTGTGACCTGAGGCGTGTGACCTGAGGCGTGTGACCTGAGGCCTGTGACCTGAGGCGTGTGACATGAGGCGTGTGACCTGAGGCCTGTGACCTGAGGCCTGTGACCTGAGGCGTGTGACCTGAGGAGTGTGACCTGAGGCGTGTGACCTGAGGCGTGTGACCTGAGGCGTGTGACCTGAGGCGTGTGACCTGAGGTGCCTGACCTGTAGCGGGGCGGGCTCGTCTCTGTTCGTCTGGTTCTTGGTCTGGAGCGGAGAGTCTGGGATCACTGGAGAGAAAAGGAAAAGGTTCAAGACTCGTCTGGTTTGTTTGTGTCGTGTTTGGACGTTGTTCCTGTGAGTCCTGAGCCCGTGTGTGTTTGAGTCATCTAGAGATCTCTCCCTCCTCTCTTTAACGCCCCGTAGACGTAACTACTCCAACTTTCTCGTTTTGAACAGCTGTGGTGAGGGAGGGTGGTGGAGGCGGCATGTTTAGACGGGTGGAGGCGGCGTGTTCGGACGTGTTTAGACGGGTGGAGTTGGCGTGTTCGGACGTGTTTAGACGGGTGGAGGCGGCGTGTTCGGACGGGTGGAGGCGGCGTGTTTGGACGGGTGGAGTTGGCGTGTTTGGACGGGTGGAGTTGGCGTGTTTAGACGGGTGGAGTTGGCGTGTTTGGACGTGTTTAGACGGGTGGAATCGGCGCGTTTGGACGGGTGGAGTTGGCGCGTTTGGACGGGTGGAGTTGGCGCGTTTGGACGGGTGGAGTCTTTCTTCACGGGTGGAGGTGGCGTGTTTGGACGGGTGGAGTCTTTTTTCACGAGTGGAGGTGGCGTGTTCGTGTCTGTACCGTCTCGCTCTTCGTCGCTGCTGTCCTCAGGTCTCTGGATCCTCCTCCTCTTCTTCTTCTTTTTCTTTGGCTCCTCCTCCTCGCCGTCAGACTCCGCCCCTCGTTTACTCTTCTTCTCCTTTGGCTCCTCCTCCTCGCCGTCAGACTCCGCCCCTCGTTTACTCTTCTTCTCCTTTGGCTCCTCCTCCTTGCCGTCAGACTCCGCCCCTTGTTCGCTGTGGACACAAACACGAACCAATCACCAAACATGAACATGAACCAAACTTTTACAAACATTTTTCTTTTTTTTTGTTGTTTGAATCCCGAAACTTCACCAAAAATTCCGTTTCGGCGTCCTGATCCTGAACCTGATCCTGATCCAGAACCTGAACCTGATCCCAAAATCCAACGACACCCAGGTGATATTTTTAACGCCGTTGCCATAGCGATGACATAAACTCTCCGTGTCATTCTAACGGGAAAAACGGCGAATTTACGTTCAAAATGTAATGTAACACGCCGCCTCCACCCGTCCAAACATGCCAACTCCACCCGTCCAAACACGTCCAAACATGTCCAAACATGCCGTATTTAGGCGTGTTTGAACAGGTGGAGTTGGCGTGTTTGGACGGGTGGAGTTGGCGCGTTTGGACGGGTGGAGTTGGCGCGTTTGGACGGGTGGAGTTGGCGCGTTTGGACGGGTGGAGTTGGCGCGTTTGGACGGGTGGAGTTGGCGCGTTTGGACGGGTGGAGACGCCGTATTTAGGCATGTTTGGACGGGTGGAGTTGGCGCGTTTGGACGGGTGGAGTTGGCATTTTTGGACGGGTGGAGTTGGCACGTTTGGACGGGTGGAGTTGGCGCGTTTGGACGGGTGGAGTTGGCGCGTTTGGACGGGTGGAGTTGGCGCGTTTGGACGGGTGGAGTTGGCGTGTTTGGACGGGTGGAGTTGGCGTTTTTGGACGGGTGGTTGTAAACACACGTCTGACATTTGTAACCAACTTAAAAAATAAAACTTGCCAATTTTCGGACTTGTCCCAGATTAAAGTTCGCCCGTTACCCGGGACCAGCGCGGCGGCTTCGTTGGCGCTTTCGTGCCAGTAGACGGCGGACGCCAAAGCGAGATCGGCCATTCTAAATCCCGTAAAACGCGTCAAAATAATCCGGTCCGTTCGTGTGAAATCCACCGCCACAAAAACGTTCATGAACATTATTCGTCCACAAACTCTCGTGTCAGTCTGATCAGATCTGACAGAACTCAAGTTTTGTCGTTTAGACTTTTTTATTTTTCCACCTTCTGAGACACTGTAGGGGGCGCTCAAGAGTCCGGGCCGGTGTGGAGGACGGGGGACACAGCCTCAAAAAAAAAAAAAAAAAAAAACGAGGCAAAAATGGGAAAAAATCTTTAATCTAACTGTTGTTCCTGAGCCCAGAAAGTGAAAGTGAAAGTGTGGCCTGTGACTCCGCCCTCCCCTGGCCCCGCCCTCTCACCTGCGCTGGTCTCTGTTGGTCTGTGGGGGGCGCTGTTCTGTCAAGCTGCTCTCGTCCTTCACCACCACAACAACAGGTCTCTCTGAAAAAACAATAAACCAGGACTGAACCAGGACTAAACCAGGACTAAACCAGGTCTAAACCAGGTCTAAACCAGGACTAAATCAGGACTAAACCAAGACTAAACCAGGACTGAACCAGGACTAAACCAGGACTAATCCAGGACTGAACCAGGACTAAACCAAGACTAAACCAGGACTAAACCAGGACTAAACCAAGACTAAATCAGAACTAAACCAGGACTAAACCAGGACTAAACCAAGACTGAACCAGGACTAAACCGAGACTAAACCGAGACTAAACCAGGACTAAACCAGAACTAAACCAGGACTGAACTGGACTCACTTGTAGTTTGACTTCCAAAAAAGTTTGCAAGGGCGTTGGTTTTTGGAGCAGGTTTTGGTTCGGTCTAAAAACAGAACAGACAAAATAAATGACAACAACAAAACAGCGACAGTTTAAAAACGTCCAGATTTAAAAACAGAACAAAATTTATGTTTAATTTTTCTTTTTTTTTTATTGTTTTTATTATTATTTGTTTACTTCTGCAGGGTTTTAACTTTACATCATTTAAAGTGCCTCTTTAAATCTAGAGGAAAAGTCTCGTACCACTGGCTCCTCTGAGGTCTCTGGTTTGGTCTCGGTCTCGGTCTTGGTCCTGGTCTCGGTCTTGGTCTCGGTCTTGGGTTTGTTGGCGAAGATTCCCATGATGCCTTTGGGCTTGGGGCAGGTCTTGGCGCTGAGGTTTGCCCCGTTGGTTTGCGGTCTGGGGGTCTCTGCGGGCGGAGGGGGGGCGGGCGGGTTTCTCTGGACCGGTGCAGCTCCGCGTTGCTCAAAGGAACAGCGTCAGGGCAGCGGATCGCACTGAACCTGAAGAGACGCGAGGAGAGGACGGGATAGAACAAAAAGTGTTGTGTCAAACGGAAAACAGGAAAACCAGACCAGCCCAGACCAGAGACACAGTCCCTCCAGGTCCGACCCAGACCTGTGTCCCAAAGACCCGGTCAGGACCCTCAGGTGGGTCACAAGAGACTTTAAGTGACCGGAGTGACAGATGTGACAGGTGTGACTGTAGTGACAGGTGTGACTGTAGTGACAGGTGTGACTATAGTGACAGGTGTGACAGGTGTGACTGGTGTGACTGGTGTGACCGGTGTGGCCGGTGTGGCAGGTGTGACCGGTGTGGCAGGTGTGACCAGTGTGACAGGTGTGACTATAGTGACAGGTGTGACGGGTGTGGCAGGTGTGACTGTAGTGACAGGTGTGACGGGTGCGGCAGGTGTAGCGGGTGCGACAGGTGTGGCAGGTGTGACTGTAGTGACAGGTGTGACTGTAGTGACAGGTGTGACAGTGTGACTGTAGTGACAGGTGTGGCAGTGACTGTAGTGACTGTAGTGACAGGTGACTGTAGTGACAGGTGTGACAGGTGTGACTGTAGTGTCAGGTGTGGCAGGTGTCACTGTAGTGACAGGTGTGACTGTAGTGACAGGTGTGACTGTAGTGACAGGTGTGACAGGTGTGACTGTAGTGACAGGTGTGGCAGGTGACTGTAAGTGACAGGTGTGGCAGGTGTGACTGTAGTGACAGGTGTGACAGGTGTGACTGTAGTGACAGGTGTGACTGTAGTGACAGGTGTGGCAGGTGTGACTGCAGTGACAGGTGTGGCAGGTGTGACTGCAGTGACAGGTGTGGAGGTGTGACAGGTGACAGGTGTGACTGTAGTGACAGGTGTGACAGGTGTGACAGTGTGAGTGACAGGTGTGGCAGGTGTGACTGCAGTGACAGGTGTGGCAGGTGTGACTGTAGTGACAGGTGTGACTGTAGTGACAGGTGTGACTGTAGTGACAGGTGTGACAGGTGTGACTGTAGTGACAGGTGTGGCAGGTGTGACTGCAGTGACAGGTGTGACTGCAGTGACAGGTGTGGCAGGTGTGACTGCAGTGACAGGTGTGGCAGGTGTGACTGTAGTGACAGGTGTGACAGGTGTGACTGCAGTGACAGGTGTGGCAGGTGTGACTGTAGTGACAGGTGTGGCAGGTGTGACTGCAGTGACAGGTGTGACTGTAGTGACAGGTGTGGCAGGTGTGACTGTAGTGGCAGTGTGAGACTGTAGTGGCAGGTGTGACTGTAGTGACAGGTGTGACTGTAGTGGCAGGTGTGGCAGGTGTGACTGTAGTGACAGGTGTGGCAGGTGTGACTGTAGTGACAGGTGTGACTGTAGTGACAGGTGTGGCAGGTGTAGCAGGTGTGGCAGGTGTGACTGTAGTGACAGGTGTGACTGTAGTGACAGGTGTGGCAGGTGTGACAGGAGTGACAGGTGTGGCAGGTGAGACTGGAGTGACAGGTGTGGCAGGAGTGACAGGTGTAATAGTAGTGACAGGTGTGGCAGGTGTAGCAGGTGTGACTGTAGTGACAGGTGAGACTGTAGTGACAGGTGTGGCAGGTGAGACTGGAGTGACAGGTGTGGCAGGAGTGACAGGTGTAATAGTAGTGACAGGTGTGGCAGGTGTGACAGAAGTGAAAGGTGTGGCAGGTGTGACTGCAGTGAAAAGTGTGGCAGGTGTAGCAGGTGTGACAGGTGTGACTGTATTGACAGGTGTGACAGGTGCGTCAGGCGCTTCACCTGTTACATTGCTGCAGGTTGCTCCTGACGGCGTCGTAGTCGACTCCAAACAGAGGAGCACTGTCCCGGAGCAGAGCCTTGTGCACACTGTACACGTGCACGCTCACCACCGCGCTCAGACGAGACCGCGCCTCTAAAACACAAACACACAGCGCCACCGTCAGGACAGAGACACAACTACAACTACACCACCAACACCTACAGGACAGACACAACTACAACTACACCACCACCACCTACAGGACAGACACACAACTACAACTACACCACCACCACCTACAGGACAGAGACACAACTACAACTACACCACCACCACCACCTACAGGACAGACACACAACTACAACTACACCACCACCTACAGGACAGACACACAACTACACCACCACCACCTACAGGACAGACACACAACTACAACTACACCACCACCACCTACAGGACAGAGACACAACTACAACTACACCACCACCTACAGGACAGACACACAACTACACCACCACCACCTACAGGACAGAGACACAACTACAACTACACCACCACCACCTACAGGACAGACACACAACTACACCACCACCACCTACAGGACAGGCACACAACTACAACTACACCACCACCACCTACAGGACAGACACACAACTACACCACCACCACCTACAGGACAGAGACACAACTACACCACCACCACCTACAGGACAGACACACAACTACACCACCACCACCTACAGGACAGAGACACAACTACAACTACACCACCACCACCTACAGGACAGACACACAACTACACCACCACCACCTACAGGACAGACACACAACTACAACTACACCACCACCACCTACAGGACAGACACACAACTACACCACCACCACCTACAGGACAGAGACACAACTACAACTACACCACCACCTACAGGACAGAGACACAACTACACCACCACCACCTACAGGACAGACACACAACTACAACTACACCACCACCTACAGGACAGAGACACAACTACACCACCACCTACAGGACAGAGACAGAACTACACCACCACCTACAGGACAGAGAGAGAGAGGAGAGCGCCCCCATCAGGCTGAAAGGAAAACTGCACTTACCCTCCAGGTCCTCCTCACGCACCACAGACACTTTATGGCACTGAAACAAAGGGAAAAAAATGAACTGAATTAGGACTAAACCAGGACTAAAACAGAGACTAAACCAGGTCTAAGCCAGGTCTAAACCAGAGACTAAACCAGAGACTAAACCAGGACTAACCCACACTTCATCTCTTGTTAACAGTTCAGTCTTGTTCTCTCGGTTCTGTGATTTTATTCTGTAGTTTTCTTGTTTGTTTGTTTGTTTGTTTGTTTGTTTGTTTGTTTATCGTGCGTCCGTGGTCCTGGGTCTTGGTTTGTTTTTGTTTGTTTGTTTGTTTGTTTGTTTACCGTGCGTCCGTGGTCCTGGGTCTTGGTTTGTTTTTGTTTGTTTGTTTGTTTGTTTGTTTACCGTGCGTCTGTGGTCCTGGGTCTTGGTTTGTTTTTGTTTGTTTGTTTGTTTGTTTGTTTACCGTGCGTCCTTGGTCCTGGGTCTTGCCCGACAGCAGGTAGGTGGCGTGGAGCGAGGCGGAGCTCTCCTTCCTCTTGTGCTCCAGGTAATGGAACAGCATTCTGCAAAACCACATCACAAATACGGTCACCACAGGTCACACGTACGTCTGCGAGGAACGTTCAGGCCTGAGAGGAACGTTCACGCCACCTGAGAGGAACGTTCAGGCCTGAGAGGAAGGTTCACGCCACCTGAGAGGAACGTTCACGCCTGAGAGGAACGTTCACGTCTGCGAGGAACGTTCACACCTGAGAAGAACGTTCACACCTGAGAGGAACGTTCACGTCTGAGAGAAACGTTCACACCACCTGAGAAGAACATTCACACCGCTTGAGAGGAATATCAATGTCTGTGAGGAACGTTCATGCCTGAGGGAAATGTTCATGCCACCTGAGAGGAACATTTACGCCTGAAAAGAACGTTCACGCCCGAGAGGAACGTTCACTACCAGCACTACACTAGGATTAAGACCAAGACTAAAGGAGGACTGAATCAGGACTAAACCGGGACTAAATTAGGATTCAAACCAGGACTAATAAGAATATAACTATAATAATAATCTCCTGAGATTTTTCCTCTTTTGTACGGGACAAAAAAAGTTTAAGTGTCGGAGAGTTTGATCTTTTGAGAAGCCGCGGTTCCAAAAATCAACAACAAAAACATGAAACGAAGCAAATAGAAAATCTGAAGCCAATCTGGGAACTAAACCGGACTATTTAGGTCTGAGAAACAAAGTGAAAATCTGGTGTTGTCTCGTTGTGGTGGACCTGATCTGGAGCCTGGTGCCCCTCGACTCTGCACTGACCGTTTGGCCGTGTTGACGTGGACGCCCAGGGTCAGACTCAGCCACTTGTACGTCACCTGGAAAACAGAAAACACCAGAAGTGAAAGATCAGAACTCAGGGCCCACTGTGCTCATTTAGTCCTGGTCCAATCCTGGTTTAGTCTTACGTTAGTCCTGGTTTAGACCTGATTTAGACCTGGTTTAGACCTGGTTTAGTCCTGGTTTAGTCTTAAATTAGTCATGGTTTAGTCCTGGTTTAGTCTTAAATTAGTCCTGGTTTAGACCTGGTTTAGTCCTGGTTTAGTCCTGGTTTAGTCCTGGTTTAGTCTTAAATTAGTCCTGGTTTAGACCTGGTTTAGACCTGGTTTAGACCTGGTTTAGTCCTGGTTTAGTCCTGGTTTAATCCTGGTTTAGTCTTAAATTAGTCCTGGTTTAGTCCTGGTTTAGTCTTAAATTAGTCCTGGTTTAGTCCTGGTTTAGTCTTAAATTAGTCCTGGTTTAGACCTGGTTTAGACCTGGTTTAGACCTGGTTTAGACCTGGTTTAATCTTAAATTAGTCCTGGTTTAAACAGGCCTAAACCAGGATTGAATCCAGAGGTAACAGAGGACTAAAGCAGGACTAAACTAGAATTAAAACCAGGTTTAAAGGAGGATTTAAACCAGGACTAAACCCGGACTAAAACAGACCAGGACCAGGACTAAACCCGGACTAAAACAGACCAGGACCAGGACTAAACCCGGACTAAAACAGACCAGGATCAGGACTAAACCCGGAGTAAAACAGACCAGCACCAGGATTAACCTGGACTAAAACAGACCAGGATCAGGACTAAACCCGGACACGGTCGGACGCAGAAACGTGACTTACGATCTTGTCCTGGTCGTGCACGTATTCGTCGATGTTGTCCAGATAAAGCGTGTCCATCTCATCACCTCCTCTCCGGGTTCGCCTCGGGTTTGATTCGTGTTTATTTCGTGTTTAGTTCGTGTTTAGTTCGTGTTTAGTTCGTAAAAACCCGCTGTTTTGTGATCGTTCTGCGCCGCGCGGGAACCTGGCGCGCCGCGGATTGTTTACTTCCGCTCTGAGCTGTCACGTGTCTGTGGGAACTTCCGGTCATGAGGTAAAAAAAATAAAAACAAAAAATTAATAATAATAATAATTGAAAAAGCATTTAAAATTAATTATATTAGCGGCGTTGGGAAGAAAATACAAGTACCGTAAATAATAAATAATTCTGAATATTAGTTTTGGTTCATTTTACTTTTCTACTTTCAAAGGAATATTTTGCGTGTTTGTTTAGTTGTTTTCTCTTTGACTTCTACGGGGGATGAACTGTGACACTTGACATATTTACATCACCATGTTCCTTTTATTGTTGTGGAAATGATAAATGGTCCTAAAACAGCGTCTGAACGTGTCGGATCAGTTTCACTTTCGTTTTGACTCTCTCCCTTCGCTCTCTGCGGTAAATCGCTGCAGCTTCACGTCCCGTCACACTGAGCCGCGTCCCGCTCGTCAAACTCCTGCGCATCTCATCAGGTTTGTCACGTGTCTTTGTTCACTTTTACAGTGTCATGTTTTTGTGTTTTGATGGACAGTTGTCGTGTGGGAGTGTGGCTGCTGGAGGTTTGTGGTTTGATTATTGCTCAGAATCTTACAGTTAATCGTCAGGAGGGTTTGAAAAGGGCCCAGGACAGATCGCTAAAACATGACATGCATGAAGGATCTAAAACCTCTGCAGGCAGGTTTGTGATGAGGAACAACTTTAGAACATGACAGAAAGAAAAACGAAAAACAGCTTTTGCTTAGTCATTTTCTGAACATGTGACTTCCTGGTGTGTGTCGTGTTCTGTATCACGGTGAACTCACATAAAAATAATCTGTGTATCACTCTCCTCCTCCTCCTCTTTCCCTGTCTTCCTGTCTCCTCCCTGCGTCTCCTCTGTGGGCAGGATTTCCTCCACATTTCCTGCAGAATTGAACAAAACAACAGAATCAAAAACCACAGACATAAATGTTCTTAAGGGTCTGTTTCCTCCAACACCAGAGGAAAAACTCAAACTTTTGGTGCAGTGAAGCTAAAACCAAACTGTTCAACACGACAACGTGAGTGTTTACTTTGACCTAAAGTTGTGTGTGTGTGTGTGTGTTTGTGTGTGTGTGTGTGTGTGTGTGTGTGTGTGTGTGTGTGTGTTGTGTGTGTGTTGTGTGTGTGTTTGTGTGTGTGTGTGTTGTGTTGTGTGTGTTGTGTTGTGTGTGTGTGTGTTTGTGTGTGTGTTGTGTGTGTGTGTTGTGTTTGTGTGTGTGTTGTGTGTGTGTGTGTGTGTGTGTTTGTGTGTGTTTGTGTTGTGTGTGTGTGTTTGTGTGTGTGTGTGTGTGTGTGTGTGTGTGTTGTGTTTGTGTGTGTTTGTGTGTGTGTGTTGTGTTTGTGTGTGTGTTGTGTGTGTGTTGTGTTTGTGTGTGTGTTGTGTGTGTGTGTGTTTTGTGTGTGTGTGTTGTGTGTGTGTGTTGTTCTTAACATGAAAATAATCCAGAATATGGCATTAAAACTAAGGAACTAGGAAAGGTTGTCCAAGGTGTGGGCGATATCTCCATATTTTAAACATATGGAGATATTTTTGAAAGTCGATATTGATTCTGACATATCGTAAATATCGATATCATGTTTATTTATATCTATTCTCTTGTTTGTCTCTGTCTTCTCGTCCACGTCTCCCTCATTTTGCTGCTCGTGTCTCGTTCTCTCCTCACTACCTCCGTAAACGCCCAAAGTTGGTGCCAGTGAAAAACAGACAAAACCATCAGCAGCACATCCTCATGTTCCACTGAGTCGTGTCCTTTAGTCCGACAGACGCTGAAAAACATCAGCGGCACGAGGACTGAGCTGTTTATTCTAAATGAGCCGTGCGCTTTTAAGTTTCATTTCTGTTTGTTTCTAAAACGTAAACAAGTCTGTGAAAATCTGAATTAAACACATGATAATGTCAAACGGCTGATGTGGCTCTAGAGTCGTTATGTTTATATGTTGTAAAGTTTATTTATGTAGAAGATTTTCATGAAGAATCTGCTGCAGTGTCACTTGTACAAAAGTGTTTGAATCGTTGGGTTTGATCTGCAGTGGATTGTGGGATTAAACCTCAGATCCTGATGCTGGTGAGGAACATGTGTCTGTTAAAATAATGAACCTCCTGAACTTCTTCTGCTGAAGGAGCTCATGGTTCTGGTTCTGGTTCTGGTTCTGGATCACAGAGTTAATGCAAAGATGAGCTTGAGCTGAGTTGTTTTATTATGAATGAAAAGAAGGAAATATGTTTTATTTCTTTTATTTTACAGTGTTAGGTATCCTCAAAAAAACATTCAGCGTGTTCTCTTAAAAATAACCACTGGAATCGATCGATTAAAATCAAAAAGAATTTATTCCCTAAACAATACAATTCTAATCCAGAGCTCTGGGTCAGATCGTTTCCCCTGACCACCTACGGCTACACACGTCTTAAATCAGGCAAATCTGGACGCCTCTGAATCCCTCAAATCAGATTTTATAGACATCCACATGAATATGCAAATAATATGTTGAAGAGGTAACGCCTTCAATCTTCTCTGGAGTATCTCTGGATTCCTTTAGGTTTAGGGAGTTGACAGCAGCTCAATGTAAATCATCAGTTTGTTTAGTTTCGCACCAGGCCGAACCATCTCCACAGCTGCTGCTTTACAATGAAATTCCTTAAAAGGACACAACCTGTATCTGCTAAGGATGACTTTAAAAACAAACATGTTTCACACAGTGGAACCTTTAAACATACATAAGATTTCAGTGGTTAAACAACTCAATGTGTAATAGTCAAACAAATATATCAATTCAATGTTTAATATGAACATGTGATGCACTCAAGAAACTTCACCACTTGGTACAGCCTTCAATAGTTAAATTATTATTTATGTAATTAGGGTTTTTTTTTTTATCTTAAATGTTCCTGTATGAACTGTCGACCTCTTACACTTCAGTAAAAAAAAAAAAAAAAAAAAAAAAAGACCTTGTGGAATTTGGCAGATTTGTTTTTGCAGTTTTCAGTTTTAGGGGGTTATTTTTGTACAGATATCGAGATATATATCGTACATCGAGATATATATCGTACATCGAGATATATATCGTATATTGAGATATATATCGTACATCGAGATATATATCGTACATCGAGATATATATCGTATATTGAGATATATATATCGTACATCGAGATATATATTGTATATCGAGATATAGCAAAAATATATCGAGATATATTTTTGGATCCATGTCGCCCAGGCCAAGACTGTCCCATTCACCCTCGACCTGTGTTTCCTCTCTCCTCATCTCCTCCCCTCTTCTGCAATAACAACACCCACATTTGACATTTTATTTAATAAATAAAGTGACTGTGGAGAGGACGGAACCAGCTCAGAAAGCTCCACTGTGACCATCACCACCAAAACATTCACTGCAGCAGATCTCATTGTTTATTTATGTTATTTGATTTTTTCAGTATTTTACTAGATAAGTCAATTGAAAACACCTTCTAATTTGCAGTGACAACCTGCAAAGACTCTGTCAAAATCAAGTCTGGAACACCAGAAATCTACAACCTTGGTCTAAAAGCAGAAGAACCGAGCACTGCTGATGTCAGAAAATATGTGTTTGGAAAAGAAAGTCATTAAGAAAATCGTATCATGATCCTTCTCGGACCTTTGGGATCTGGGAAGATCAGTCTCATCAATGCCAAAAGTTTGATTTTATCTGAAGAAGTGCTAGAAGATAGAAGGGAGTTGGAGAAATTACTAGATAATATACAGCGTCAAGTTTATGTAGGAACGCTAAAATGTGAAGAGATAAAGCGAACACATGAACAAATAAAGAAGCACGAGGCCGAGATGAAAATAAATGAGAATTTTGAGAATAAATCCACTGTCACTGAACTTATTCAGGTGGACTTTTCTGGTCGTGGATATATAAGCAACAACTGCCAGCTCTGTCACTACACCTGTCATTATCCATGTCCCATTATCTGCAACACAGAAAAACAGAAATGTGTGGTATTTGGTCGAGATGGAAGATGCACTGTGTGTCCTGGAAAATGTTTCTGGAGTGAACATTTCCTTCAAAAATACAGATGGGAAATGAAGAAAGTCACAAAGAGAGAAACAATAAAACCATTGAAAGAGAAATACCAGGCAGCCAAAGAGCAGAAAGAAAATGATGAGTCAATGCTTAGAAAAATAACAAAAGAAACTGAAGATGTGCAGGCAGAAGTCACAAACCTTGAGGAAGAGAAACTTGAGGCTAAAGCAGGGTGGAGGGAAAGAGTAAACTTTCTTGTGACAGTAAAGACGAGGGCTGAAAGAGGGTTAGGGATAGAGCAGGGGTTCTTAAACTTTTTGACCATGAAGCCTGATTTTTGCAGTGCAGAGTGCCAATGTCCAATTAAAAAATAAGCACAGACATAAAGAACAACACGAGCACAGTCACATTACATCCTGATCTCCAATTTGTTCCTACTTTTTCTTTTAACCCGACTGTTACATCATGAACAGACTCCAGGTTAATACATTCACGAACATTCAACTATTTAATCATTCATTTGTTCAATATAAATGATTGAACAAATGATGATGATCATGTTGTTGTTCTATTTTCACTCTGCCTGTTATACATTTTTTGGACACTTGATGGCGCAGTGGAGCAAATGAAGCACCTTGAAGCATCAAAACAAAACAGCAGCAGATTAAATCCAGTAATATAAAAAGAAAAGTGTTAAGTAATGTAGCTGGGTTAAAAACAAACACCTGTCCCGCCTTAAAGTCACAATAACACAGAGGAAACATCGGACACTGTTTTTCTTTAGCTCTAAAAGCCCCGGGGAGAGTGAGACCTTTTACATGGAGCCGTGGAGATTTTCCTCTCAAGAAAAGACGGAGAAGAGGAGAGGAGTGTTCAGCAGCAAAGCCTGTAGGGGGCATCACTGAGCACCTGAACAGAGCTGTGACCATCACCTGGTTCCAAAAATAAGTTTCATAATTAATTTTTCCCAGAGATTTTACTGAACAAATGTATATTGTAAAAGTGTGAAAGCTGAGGGTAAATCAGCTCTGTGGGAACGACCACAATACCTGTCATTTTATTTAAAATATGTTTCTGAACTTGATAAACAGTTGAATTATTAAAGTGTTTCAGAGTCTTGGTTTAAATGTGTTTTTGGACTTAGAACAGCTGTGGTATGGACATGAGCACGAACCTCATTCAAACTCTTCATATTAGATTTTTCAAAAAGTCTTTGGGAAAAATGAAATATGAACTTGACTTCCAGAAGCGGAGCAGGTGCTCACTGTTGAACTCATCCCTCAAACGTTCCTGAAGTGAGTGAAGTTTGTGGAGTCAGACTCCAGAGGTGTTTGTGAAGCAGCAGCAGCAGGAGCAGGAGGAGGAGGAGGAGGAGGAGGAGGAGGAGGAGGAGGAGGAGGAGGAGGAGGAGGAGGAGGAGGAGGAGGAGGAGGAGGAGGAGGAGGAGGAGGAGGAGGAGGAGAAGGAGGAGAAGGAGGAGGAGGAGGAGGAGGAGGAGGAGGAGGAAGGAGAAGGAGGAGGAGGAGGAGAAGGAGGAGGAGGAGAAGGAGGAGGAGGAGGAGGAGAAGGAGGAGGGTTTGTCCTGACGCTCTGACACTTTTCACTTATGATCAGGAGTATTTCAGCTTTTCTTTTTACATCCTAATAATACTTCAGTGTTGTGCACAGGCAGACACCAGGTGGTGCTAAAGCACTTGCCCTTTTGCCCTGTGTACAAATAGTGCCTTTTTGAAAGTTTTTTTTGTTTGTTTTTGTCACTGTGAGTGTGGTCCATGTTGACATGATAATCTGGAAATGCTGAGCGATTAAAAGCGTGCGATAATAACAAAGCACCTCTTTCTTTTTGAACAATGTAGTGGGAGGGAGGGGCACAGAGAGAGAGAGGAGTGAGAGGGGAGGGTCAGATTACAAGTGGGGCAAATTCCCTGCACACACACACACACACACACACACACACACACACACACACACACACACACACACACAACACACACCACACACACATACACACACACACACACACACACACACACACACACACATACACGCACAGTCATATGCTCATAACTCTATACTCATAACCCAGGTTCATCGAAAGGTACGTACCACAAAAACAACTTAACTGCCAAGGCTTTACTTTATGGGCACCAACTTTATCTGCCCAAACTTTGAAAAACTCGAAACTCTATAACCTGAACAGTCCAGATGTATTCTTGGACCCAGGAGGTGGCTCAGTCTAGTGGAAAACGCTTCTTGTTTTTAACAGGAGTATATTTAGAACTGCAGGGACTGCAAGAGTTTCTCTGTTATTTAACCTTTGATGAGTCATGTCCAGAAGTTAGCAAGTTCTTTAAATTGTAATAATGTTATAAATATGTTTTAACACAAAGCTAAAAGTTGTAGTATTAGGTAAAACTGTAGTATGAGGTAAAACTGGAGTATGAGGTAAAACTGCTGTCAAATAAGATGAAGCAGAGTAAAGTGGAGCCGGGGCGAACGATAATAAAGCATTTTTTAAGACAACTGAAGGATTTGGAGCTGAGAAAAATGTTATGATATAAAAAAAAAGGTAATTTTTAGGAGCTGGACATGATCTGTAATGATGTCCTGAAGAGTCCTGCAGGGCAGAACTTCTCACACTTTTCTGAAAAAGTCAAAACCTTTAACTCTTTGTGCTCCGAGTTCCTCCTGGGACTCCAGGGAACTCTGGCCACGAAGCTTCCATCGATCAGAGGAGGAGGAGAGGAGGAGGCTGCTCTGGCAGAAGTCCTGAAGAGGGCAGCAGAGAGTCCATTCAGCTCTCACCGTTTGAACCAGTGGATGAACGAGGTCGTTAAGGAGACCAACACCATAAAAGTCCTCACAAATCTGATGAGAAACACAGAAGTCGTCTCTTCTGAAAATGACCTCATGAAGAAGGTGAGTGACTCAGAGAAAGTCCTGGTGTTTGTGTTCACGTCTCTGGAGAGGGCAGAGCCGTACCTCGAAGAACTGAAGAACCACCTAAAGGGGATTCAAACCCACGAGTCTGGAGCAGAGCCCACACCCTGGTACAAGACTAAAGACGTGATCCACCGAATGAGACTCAAAGCAAAGGTGTTTAGTGACTTTGCAGACGCCAACAAAGACCAGGACACAAAGGCTCTTCGGTTCCTGGCAGTGGGTTTGACTGATGAAAACCACAAAGAAGCAACCATCTATCTTTATGAAGACGGGTTCCTCAGCAGTGAGAGCTTTGAGCTCCCTTCTAAACCAGACTCAGTGACTGTGAGCAGAGCCACAGCGCACAGCGTGAGTCTGCAGGTCAGAGCTCTCTCAGTGGGAGCGGAGAACGTCTGTGGATACAGAGTGGAGTTCTGTGAGAAAGGACAGGAGCAGTGGAAGCAGCAGCTCCAGGCTGAAGCTGGAAAGGTCACAGTGACAGATTTCATTTTTGGACGCCACTGAAATGTTCCAGGAGGCACCGTAGAGAAATGTAATATCAAAGCCCCATAAATGAAACATCATTGTGTTCAACAACATCACTGTGCAAAATGTTCCACTGGCTTTGACTCAAGTCAACACATTATGACAAAGTTCTGCAAGTTTTTATGCTTCAAATGACCACTTTCTGCAATAACCACACCCACATTTGACATTTTATTTTAAAAAATTAAATAATAACTTTTGATGACATGGGGGTTTTCTCGTCTTTTGACCACATTGTTTGTTTATTGTATAAAGAGTTGAGGAGGAGATACCAAAAGTGTGAGGTGTGTGTTTTCTTAGGTTTCATGTTCTGGTCAATGTGGTCGACTTGCTGTAGGGTTCAGGGCGGAGCCGTAATATAGTTTTGTACTTGTCTTTAAGTCTGTCGCCCACACACACGCCACAAAAAAACAGAACAGGACATGAAAAAAATATATTATATCCCCGCCCTAAACCAACAGGAAGTGGGTCATATTGAATCAAACCCTGGAATGACAGAAGCACACACCGTCGTACTCAGGACATCTCCTCACACAGTTTTCAGCACAAACTCTTCAAATTTGCCCAAAGGAAACAAAACCCACGTGCAATTAAAGATGATCACTGACACTTTGAATATGACTTTGGTGTGGTCATGGTGAATTATTTGTGAGCTGAATGTAATGACACACAAAAAAAAGAAATATCTAATCAAATGCCTCTCTAGAGTCTTTTTAAAAGATGATTTAAAAAAACAAAACAAAACATGGAGCTTATTTGTGATGGGGCAAAATGTGACACATGATCCAAGTTTTTATGGTTTAGGAGAAAAATAATATGGTCATGGTCACATTTTTCCATCTTCAAAGTACCTAATAGTAGAAAAACAAACATAACTCTGTCCTCAGCTGTGCAGGCGCGACAGTGTCAGAAAATGTATTTGTACATTTTAAATACTAACGTGCATGTTCTCCCTGTGCTCAGATGGCTTCAGACTGTAACTCACCTGTGGAGATGGCGGCTCTGGGTCGGTCTTTTCTCCTGGGCATGTTGTATGACTGCAGATCTGACACACTGGTCCCAGGTACGTCTGAAAGAGAACGGTATTCTACATGTATCTCGTCTTTATTAGAATCACTTTATATTTATTCATCCAAATAAACCTCTTGTTTTTCAGGCCTGACTTTCTGGGACCAGGAGAAGCTGGACAAAGACATGAGAGTGACTCCTAAACCCAGCACTCAGTGTCAGATCGTGGCGTCTGATCACCTCTCTGAGAAGGCCTCTTCACTCGGAGTGGACGCTGGACTCAAAGCCAGTTTTATGAGTGGACTTGTGAAGGTTGAAGGGTCAGCAAAATATCTGAACGATCAGAAAAGTTCCAGAAGACAGGCCCGAGTCACTCTGCAGTACAAAACTACGACAGAGTTTAAAACATTGACCATGAACCAGCTCAGCAAAGACAACTTAAAGCACCACGAGGTCATTGACAAAGGTCTAGCCACACATGTAGTAACAGCCATCCTCTATGGAGCCCAGGCCTTCTTTGTGTTCGACCAGGAAACATCTGAAGATGAAAATGTCCGAGACATTCAGGGAAACCTGAAGGTGATGATTGAAAAAATCCCAAAGATCTCCATTGATGGAGAAGGGAATCTGAAAATGGAGGACAAAGACAAAGAAAAGGTGAACAAGTTCTCCTGCACTTTTCACGGAGATTTCTGTTTAGACAAAAGTCCAACGACATTTGAAGAAGCAGTAAAAGTCTATCAAGACCTGCCCAAACGTCTGGGCCCCAAAGGTGAGAACGCAGTCCCTGTGAGGGTGCACCTGCTGCCCCTCAGCGCCTTAGACTCTGCAGCGTCTAAACTGGTGCGTCACATCAGTCTGAGGTTAGTCTGTGAGGCAGAGAACGTCTTGGAGAACTTCAGGGAGCTGGACATGATCTGTAATGATGTCCTGAAGAGTCCTGTAGGACAGAACTTCTCACACTTTTCCAAAAAAGTCAAAACCTTTAACTCTTTGTGCTCAGAGTTCCTCCTGGGACTCCAGGGAACTCTGGCCATGAAGCTTCCATCGATCAGAGGAGGAGGAGAGGAGGAGGCTGCTCTGGCAGAAGTCCTGAAGAGGGCAGCAGAGAGTCCATTCAGCTCTCACCGTTTGAACCAGTGGATGGACGAGGTCACTGAGGAGGCCAACGCCATAAATGCCCTCACAAATCTGATGAGAAACACAGAAGTCGTCTCCTCGAAAAATGACCTCATGAAGAAGGTGCGTGACTCAGAGAAAGTCCTGGTGTTTGTGTTCACGTCTCTGGAGAGGGCAGAGCCGTACCTCGAAGAACTGAAGAACCACCTACAGGGGATTCAAACCCACGAGTCTGGAGCAGAACCCAAACCCTGGTACAAGACTAAAGACATGATCCACCAAATGAGACTCAAAGCAAAGGTGTTTAGGGACTTTGCAGACGCCAACAAAGACCAGGACACAAAGGCTCTTCGGTTCCTGGCAGTGGGTTTGACTGATGAAAACCACAAAGAAGCAACCATCTATCTTTATGAAGACGGGTTCCTCAGCAGTGAGAGCTTTGAGCTCCCTTCTAAACCAGACTCAGTGACTGTGAGCAGAGCCACAGCGCACAGCGTGAGTCTGCAGGTCAGAGCTCTCTCAGTGGGAGCGGAGAACGTCTGTGGATACAGAGTGGAGTTCTGTGAGAAAGGACAGGAGCAGTGGAAGCAGCAGCTCCAGGCTGAAGCTGGAGAGGTCACAGTGACAGGCCTGATCCCAAACACAGAGTACAGCTTCACAGTGAGAGCCGTCACTGAGGCGGGAGTAGGTCCAGCTGCTCCTCACACCTCCATGAAAACCTTACCCTGCGACCTTCCAGAAAACCCCAGCGCCATGTCCACCTCCTCAAAGATCTACGTCCGCTGGAGGAGACCTGCACAGGTGGGACAAGGCGCCCAGATCCTCAGATACATCGTGGAGTACGCTGAGACCGGAGACACACTCCAGTGGAGGAGAGAAGAGTCCCATTCTGAGGAGAAGGTGATCTCTGGACTTAAGCCTCAGACAGAGTACATCCTCAGGATCTTCTGTGACTATGGAGAGAACGGAACCAGCTCAGAAAGCTCCACTGTGACCATCACCACCAAAACATTCACTGCAGCAGAACTCATCGTAAAAGACTCTGTCAAAATCAAGTCTGGAACACCAGAAATCTACAAACTTGGTCTAAAAGCAGAAAAACTGCGCACTCCTCGTGTCAGAAAATATGTGTTTGGAAAAGAAAGTCATAAAGAAAATCGTATCATGATCCTTCTTGGACCTGTGGGATCTGGGAAGATCAGTCTCATCGATGCCATGATCAACTACATCCTGGGAGTCAGATGGACCGACCCGTTTTGGTTTAAAATAAACGAGGGTGAGACTTCTGAGACAGTGGTGTATCAAATAAACCACCAGGAGGGATTCCAGGTCGACTTCTCACTCACCATCATCGACACTCCAGAGTTTAGAGATTTTACAGGCATCACAGGAGACAAACAGACCCTGGAGCAGATAGCTTACCTCGTCAATGATTTGAACATCACAGAGGTTCATACAGTCTGTGTAGTGGTCCAGTCGTCTTTAGCTCAACTCCCTCCAGCCCTGTGTCACGTCTTACACTCATTCCACTCCAGCTTTGGGAAAGATGTGTTTGAAAACCTCAAGATTCTGGTGACGTTCGCAGATGCTCAGATGCCTCCAGTTCTTGAGTACATCAAAGCTGCTGGAGTCCCATGTCCTAAAACAGAGCAGGGTCTGCCAGTCCACTTCAAATTCAACAACTCTGCAATGTTCGCCCCAAACCAGACCTCTGCAGAAGAAGACAATTTGGATCAAATGTTCTGGGACATGGGAAACAAAAACATGACGAGGTTCTTTAGTGACTTAGAGAAAACTCAGAGCAAAAGGATGAATCCAGAAATAATAATAGTACAACTATTACATCTGATGGGACCCCAAGTAGGACGTGTAATGAAGACATACGATTCAATTCACTTTGCTTCATTAGGTGGACCTATGTGGAACTGAAGAATAATTCAACAACTGCAGACAATGCAATGCCACATTCATTATCCATGTCCCATTAGAAATGACGCAGAAATGGACAAACGTGAAGTATTTGATTCAGATGGAAGTTGCACTGTGTGTCCTGGAAAAATGTTTCTGGCGCAAACATTCAGTCCAGAAATACAGATGGAAAAACAAGACAGACACAAAGAGAAATACCAGAGACAAACTGTAGAGTCTCTCCTTAATAATAAACATATAAAGAATTTGAAGATGTTGAGGCAGAACTCTCAAAGATGTAATATTCAGTTTTTAAGAGAAAACTATTCCTGATGAAGACAAAAAAAACAAACAAAAAAAAAGCAAGAACTGTAAATAAAACAACAAATCAAAGCATGTTAAACTAAAAATGGATAAAACAATTGAATCTGTGCAGCTGATGTCATCAACATCCACTGGGACTGTGACGCTAACTAGAGGCACTGCTGTGTGTGAAACTCTGTCATAATCTGAGTTTTATTTAAACACAATCTGGGAATAAAAAAGTTAAAGTTTCATCAATATTTCACCACTGATCACGATTTAGACCAAAAACAAAGTTATTGTAAGTGCTCTTTGTCTCATCCAATCTGCTGCCCAACTCTCTCTATATTTACTTTACTTTTATATATTTACTTTAAAACTTTACTTTCATATATTTACTATAAAATTTGAGTTTTATATATTTACTTTAAAACTTTACTTTCATATATTTACTATAAAATTTGAGTTTTATATATTTACTTTAAAACTTTACTTTCATATATTTACTATAAAATTTGAGTTTTATATATTTACTTTAAAACTTTACTTTCATATATTTACTATAAAATTTGAGTTTTATATATTTACTTTAAAGCTTGTACTTTTATATATTTACTTTCAAATTGTACTTTGTGTTTCTGAGGCCATAAAAAGTGTCAAAGTGAAGTGGTGTAAAAGGAGGCTGCATGTTGTGAGTGTGTTTTCTTTGCGCTGTGTGTTGTTGTGTGTTTATTATCGTCTGTGTTGGATTTGGTCGAGCTTTAGTTTCTCTGAGTCTCATCACACGTGTCTCTGATCAAACGGGGGAACTGCCAACAATAATCTCATGATATTCATTTCATACTTGACGCTCGCTGCAGTTAAAGTGAAAAACCTTCTGCTCCGTGACCTCGGACGATGAACGCCGCTCCGTTTGACGACACAAACTGCAGAAGCTCCGGAACGTTCCCGGGGTAAAACTATCGGCTCAAAGATTCATTTGGAATTGGACGATACAAAGGCTTTGTCAGACGCCCAGACCCTCAGACTCCCTCAGACTTTCAGAAACCTCCATGCTTCTAGACTGTGTGTGTGTGTGTGTGTGTGTGTGTGTGTGTGTGTGGCTGCTGCTGTGATTCTGTTGGTTCCTTTTGTTTGGACAGAATTCTGCAGACTTTTTACACTTAAATGTTTGACACTGCAGTGTGAAGCTCTTTGGAAACGCTCTTGTTTATGAAATGTGCTGTACAAATAAAGTGGGCCTGGATCCTGCTGTGACGTCATTAAAGCTGCTGTAGAACCGTCTCTGCCTCTTTCTTCAGTTTTGTAACGATACAAGACCAGTGTTGGGAAGTTTACTTTTCAAATGTAATCCCCTACAGATTACAGATTACACACCCCAAAATGTAGTTTGTAACAGAATCCATTAAATGACTTAAAGTGAGTAATGTAATCTGATTACTTTGGATTACTTGATTTGATGTAGAGAAACAAAGACGAGGAAATCTGCACATAAGAAGTTTTATCTGATAAAAGAAAATAAAAAGTCCAAACTTTACTGAACCAAATTAAAAATATTATTGATAAAAGACGAAGAAACACGTCCACACAGCAGGATTTAGTCCTGGTTTTAGACCTGGTTTAGACCCTGGTTTAGTCCTGGTTTAGTCCTGGTTTAGTCCTGGTTTAGTCCTGGTTTAGTCCCTGGTTTTAGACCTGGTTTAGTCCCCTGGTTTAGACCTGGTTTAGTCCTGGTTTAGTCCTGGTTTAGACCTGGTTCCTGGTTTAGACCTGGTTTAGTCAGAGTCCTGGTTTAGAGACCTGGTTTAGACCTGGTTTAGTCCTGGTTTAGAGTCCTGGTTTAGATCCTGGTTTAGTCCTTTTAGACCTGGTTTTAGAGACCTGGTTTAGTCCTGGTTTAGAGGTCCTGGTTTAGTCCTGGTTTAGTCCTGGTTTAGACCTGGTTTAGAGTCCTGGTTTAGACCTGGTTTAGTAGTCCTGGTTTAGAGTGGTTTAGTCCTGGTTTAGATCCTGGTTTAGTGGTTTAGACCTGGTTTTAGTCCTGGTTTAGTCCTGGTTTAGTCCTGGTTTAGTCCTGGTTTAGTCAATAAGTGGAATAACCTAAAAAAAAAAAAAAAAAAAAAAAAAAGCCCAAATTGTGTAAAACAGTTAAATCTCTCTCTGTGTAATCCATTTATTTCAACAAAGTAACTGTAATCCAATTACCACTCACTGAAACAGTAACTGTAACTGAATACAGTTACTCATCATTTGTACTCTGATTACTCTGGTACATGTAATCTGTTACTCCCCAACACTGTACAAGACAAATCCACAGTGATTTAGTGTCTGACGTCATTTAAAGTGTCAGTATCAGTAAACGTTGTGTACAGGGATTTAGAATCAAGTCAAATGTACAAACAGAAATCAAAGTGACAAACGTCCATGGAGATGTTTGAGCTCAATCAGCAGCATTAAAACAGACACACATGACTCAATTCATGTTCCACGTTTCCTCGTCTGGACTTCTCCTTTACAGGGAGGAAACTGAATGTTTCCAGTCTCTGGGAGGAAGAGTGGGAACAGCAAGTGCAGGGACGGCGAGCACCAGGAGATGGCGCTGGTTCAACACTTCACAGGATTTAACAGTGTTTCTGTGAAACATGTTTCACCTCCAGCAGCAGTTTAGTTGTTTTCTCTTTGACTTCTACGGGGGATGAACTGTGACACTTGACATATTTACATCACCATGTTCCTTTTATTGTTGTGGAAATGATAAATGGTCCTAAAACAGCGTCTGAACGTGTTGGATCAGTTTCACTTTCATTTTGACTCTCTCCCTTCGCTGGAAAAAGGATCAAAACTAAAACACAGTGGATTCCAGGCAACTCCAAAAAAGTAGAAAAAGTAAAAAAATCACAAAAAATAGTTAAAAGGCCTTTATTAGAAAGGCTGTCCTGGTACAACAGTGGGTTATATGTGAATTATAATGGTTATATGTGATTATAATGGGTTATATGTGAATTATAATGGGTTTATAATGGGTTATATGTGAGTTATAATGGGTTATATGTGAGTTATAATGGGGTTATATGTGAGTGATTAAATGGTTTATATGTGATTATAATGGGTTATATGTGAGTTATAATGGGTTAAATGGTTATATATGGGTTATATGTGAGTTATAACCCTGTAAACATACCAAGGTGTTGTCTGTAAACACGAACATTAATTGATGCTGAAGCTGCATTAAAGTGTAATGTGTAACATTTCATTGTCTGTGACGTCTGTAACCAGGACAGTTTGGTGGTGTTTGGTGTAAACTGGGACATTTCAGGGTTCAGAGAAACTTTTGGTCCCATTTGATGTGAGAAATGCAGCTGAAATGAAGGTTCAGGCTGATGCTCGCTGTGGCTGAAGCCGTCAACGTTTGAATCTAAACACACAGAGAACCTGATATTTGATAATTAGTCCTGGGATAATGTTACGTCTGATGTTCACCAACTGGCTCCACTCTGTTTCTACTTAGATGTAGGTGCAGTTTCCCATTCAGACGAGGTGTTTCTACATAATATCACACAGCAGCGTTCAGTTTACGAATTCAATGTGACAAGACAAGACATTTTTACAATAAATTTGAATGAACCCACTTGTTGTTCAGTTGTTGTAGCTCCTTGTTGTGTCATTACTCTGTTTTTACTCTGCTACAAACTGAAACATGCACAGTCTTGATCTTGATCGATGTTTCTTCTGCTCGATGAATAATGTCTGTGAAGTGATGACGTGTTTTTGATGGTAAAGTCCCGTCTGTGAATTCGTGTTCGTGCTGATGAAAGTGTAATCGTACATTTTCATTTGATTATTGTAATTCTTGACGTGGTAACTTTTCAATTAATATTCTGATGATAAACTGCACACAATATATTTTATGTACGACTGGACTCATTGGAGAGTTTACAAATATTTATTTTATGCACAACTACAGACAAATATGCATATATGTTTCAGAACCAGAAACAAAAGTGATATGGTTCAAAAGACTTGAAAAGATCGACTTTGACAATAGACTCATCCCACTGGGAAAACAAACATGGAGGTTTGATGTTCACTTTTTCGGAGGATCGTTTCCAGTATGAAGTTCAAAATTCAGGATCCCGACAGGATGGTTTCAGTGTCACTGAAGTCCAGGCTTTGTCCGTCCATCCAGTGACTTCAGGAAAGTTTCATGGTGCATCCTCCCGGTGTCACAAGTTTCTCTCTCACTCCAAACTTTCTTTCTGCTGCTCCATTTCCGTTTTCAGTTGCAGATTTCACGACTTGCAGTTTGTAATAAGGTACTGGTAGAAAATCTGAGTGTGGGCGGGGCCACAGTAACTGCAGAGAAGCCCACTGTCATTTCAGTCCCATTCTGATTGATAAATAAATGTATATAATATAAATATATCATATAATATATATGTAAAGCTCAGAGCAGATGGGAAACCTGTGAGCCACTGACCAAAGACAAGAATGTGGGATGAGGAGGGTCCAGAGTTTGTGAAAAGGTTTGATTTGCACAGATTAAGTCAACAACATTTGTCTGTTGTTGTTTTTCTGGTGAGTTTCTTTTATGTGGTGAAGTTTGAGACAAGAGTTGTTGCTTTTCATTCCTCAGAGTTTCGATGACGATGTTCTGTCTTATCTGTAAAACAAGTTCTGGCGAAACTCTCAGATATGAAAACAAATTCCACAACTGTTGGACTTCGGGGCGTTTTTCTCTCAGGAAATAAAAGCTGCATCTGCTTCACTCTGCATCAGACGCTCGCTCGCGCTCACACCGGACGACACACTTTATAACGTCATCACGAGGTCATTAGAAAAGTCTCGTTTGTTTCATGTTTCTGTCGTTTTAGTCGAGAGTAAATACTAACGTGCATGTTCTCCCTGTGCTCAGATGGCTTCAGACTGTGACTCACCTGTGGAGATGGCGGCTCTGGGTCGCTCCTTTCTCCTGGGCATGTTTTACGACTGCAGATCTGACAAACTGGTCCCAGGTACGTCTGAAAGAGAACGGGCACAGAGGGGCACAGAGGGGCACAGAGGGGGAACAGAGGGGCACAAGGGGGCACAGAGGGGCACAGAGGGCCACAGAGGGGCACAATGGGGCACAGAGCGGCACAGAGGGGGAACAGAGGGGCACAAGGGGGCACAGAGGGGCACAGAGGGGCACAGAGGGGTCAGGGGTGATTCCTCAATTTAAGTCAGTTACAAAGTTTGCGTCAGTCAAACAGACTCTGTTTTATGTCTGTACTGTCGAATAAAGTCCAGTAGCCTTAAAGTGGAGTTTTAGTCCCAAAGATGTTTAATAACATTTAATTTGAGATAAAGAATCATAAAATCGGGGACTTGTCATAATCACTGAACACATGAACACACTAAAGTCAGTCACGCCCATGTTTCTGTGCACTCGTCTGTTTGCTCAGGTGTGGTACAGTTAAATGTGCTGTTTTTACAAATGTTTGTCTCATACTTAACGAAGAGTAAAAAAAATAAATTGAAGAGTAAAATAATGTATAGGTTTGACTCTATGGCAGCACAGGATGTTTCTGTGTGGAGTTTGCATGTTCTCCCTGTGTACATGGGCAGTACAAATGGGCTCCTCTGGTTTGTGTACAAAGTATAATTCATCTTCACTTATTCAGGCTGAGGATGAAAATGTTCATTTGGCCTGAGCAGTAATCCAATATTAGTCCTGGAGCCATACTGTCCACCTCCAATATTCTGCTCCTTTGTCTTACAATTATTTTTCATAAGTCACAGCTCGGAACATTACGAGTTCTGGGTCTTTTCTTCCAACTCTGCCCCATTTGGTCTTAGGACCTAAAACCCGTTTTGTGGCACCAAAACTTGTGCCAAATGTTCTGAGTCTGTTAAAAGTGCTGCTATATTCACATGAGGAATACAGTCATTTAACAGGGGGTTTATGTGGTACAATGTAAAGGTGTTCAATTATTAAACACCTTTACATTTAGTTTATTTCTTGGACTGGCAATCTGTACAACCGGGCAAATGCCCGGTGGGTCGGTCCACATTTGGGCCGGTGTGGGTCAGCCCCCCACCCCTGGTCTTCAATTTCGACTGACCCAAAATGTGCGTGAGCGACACCCCACCTCTGGGCCTAGGCCCACCCAAATCTCAACAGGCCCACCTGTACCCCCCTCCCCCCAAAAAAAAGTTTCATAGTGCATTGTAGCATATTGTGGAAAAGGGCTTGCTCATATTTCGACATTATTCAGCACCATTCAAATACAAACAGTGCAGGTTTATGTCTCGAACACGTGTGCCTCACTCATGATCCCAACACACCAAATGAAAATGACTCCTGTCACCAGCCCCAAACAACACCTTCCCATGAAGCACTGCGGCCAAGTTTATAGGTCGATACAGTATTTTCATTTTGTCAAGTATTATTAAATATCAGAAAATAATCACATCATTTGTGCTAAAATAGTCTATTATAGTATAGAATATAGTATATATAGTAAATATTTTTTTCTTTAATAAAAAAGTTGGTTAATGGATATTTGCTCAAGTTCAGCAGACGAGCCGCGGCTCTTCTTGCATCAGTTTGTCTGCACATGTGTTACAGACAAATAATCCATCTGTTTTATACAGTCAGTCTAAGGTTAATACACCGGGAGTCATATTTGCAAAGATGCCTTTTACACACCCCCCCCCTTGAGAGTATCACGCAGGTAAATTGGACTCAAATACAACACAAGTATATAGGCAAACAAAGTCTCAGTAAATAACTGAAAATGTCCTCTAAGGTAATGTTATCTAACTATGACTGAAAAAACAACAAAGGAATATATCATTCATATAATGTGAACTAAAATCTCTTCCAGAACTGGGAAACACTCGAAGTAGATAATGTGCTTAGATAAACTAAAACAGGAACTATAAACAGGGGAACAAAAAGCAGAATGCATAAAATGCAAATAGAATACAGGTTCAGAATTTCCAGGTAAGAGCTTGAGAGTATGTGTTCACAGGTTGACAATCTAGCAAAGACTGAGGGAGCAGAGGGAGTATATATAGACTGGACCTGGGCTGATTACAGAATGAGAGGCAGCTGTAGGGAAAGGAGGGAGGTGGCAAAAGGAGGACCGGAACAGAGTGAGAAATGGAACTGGACTGGAGGAAAACAAGTAAACAAAAGGCAGAACTGTGACAGAACCCCCCTCTCAAGGGACGGCTCCTGACGTCCCAAAACCAAAAGGCCGACCATGGGAGGGAGGAGGGGCCTGGCGGAGGGTCAGAATTCCAGGTCAGAGTACTCAGACGGATGAGCTGCAAGAGCCCTTTGAAGGCTGTTCAGGATGTTGATCATGGAAAGCTTTAATAAGAAGAGGGTCTAAAATGAAACTGGCAGGCACCCAAGAACGCTCCTCTGGCCCATACCCCTCCCAGTCAACCAAATATTGGATGCCCCTACCACGGCGTCTGGAACGGAGCAGACGCCTCACCGTGTACGCAGGTTCTCCATCAATCAGACGAGTAGGCGGAGGTGAGGGTGAGGCAGGGGCAAGAGGACTGTCTCGAGCCGGCTTCAACTTTGAGACATGGAAGGTGGGATTGATCCGCATAGCTCTTGGCAACTTGAGACGCGCAGCCACCGGGTTGACCATCCTCTCAATTTCAAACGGGCCAATAAACTTGGGGGGCAAGTTTCTTCGAATCCACCCTGAGTGGTAGGTCCTTAGTCGAGAGCCAAACCATATGACCAGCCTGGTATGCAGGAGCCTCAGAACGACGGCGGTTGGCTGATGCAGAGTAGCCTGTTTCCAGGTTCTGTGGCAGCGTTTTATGAATGCTTGAACAGAGGGGCAAGAAACTTCCTTTTCCTGGGATTGGAACAGGGGTGGTTGGTAACCATAAGCACACTGGAATTAGGAAAAACCAATGGCTGAACTTTTCAGAGTATTGTGAGAGTACTCTACCCACAGTAGTTGCTGGGACCAGGAGGATGGGTTCCTTGATGCCATACAGCGCAACACAGTCTCCATCTGCTGATTGATTCTTTCTGTCTGGCCGTTGGACTGAGGGTGATAGCCTGATGACAGGCTAACCGTGGCCCCTAAAAGGGAACAGAATTCACGCCAGAATATGGAGGTGAATTGGGGACCCCGATCAGAAACAATATCAGTGGGGAGTCCGTGCAACCGAAAAACATGCTGCAGCATCAACTCAGCGGTCTCTTTTGCCGACGGAAGTTTGGTCAGTGGAACGAAATGGGCCATCTTGCTAAAACGATCAACTACAGACAGGATGGCGGTGTGTCCATTGGAAACAGGTAAGCCAGTGACGAAGTCCAGGGATATGTGAGACCAAGGCCGGTGGGGAACAGGAAGAGGAAGAAGATGGCCAGCAGGTGATTGGTGAGTAGGCTTCGACTGGTTACAGACTTGACAGGCATTAACAAAATCTCTGGTGTCCTCATCCAGGGTACCCCACCAGAATCTTTGATGCAGAACCTCCTTAGTCCGTTGGATCCCGGGGTGACAGGTGAGCTTAGAACTGTGAGCCCATTGCAGAACATCTGACCTGANTTTAGACCTGGTTTTAGACCTGGTTTAGTCCTGGTTTAGTCCTGGTTTAGGTTTAGTCTGGTAGACCTGGTTTAGTCCTGGTTTAGTCCTGGTTGGTTTAGTCCTTGGTTTAGACCTGGTTTAGACCTGGTTTTAGTCCTGGTTTAGACCTGGTTTAGACCTGGTTTAGTCCTGGTTTAGACCTGGTTTAGTCCTGGTTTAGACCTGGTTTAGAGCTGGTTTAGTCCTGGTTTAGTCTGGTTTAGTCCTGGTTTAGACCTGGTTTAAACCTGGTTTAGTCCTGGTTTAGTCTCCTGGTTTAGTCCTGGTTTAGTCCTGGTTTAGTCCTGGTTTAGTCCTGGTTTAGACCTGGTTTAGACCTGGTTTAGTCTGTTTAGTCCTGGTTTAGTCCTGGTTTTAGACCTGGTTTAGACCTGGTTTAGTCCTGGTTTAGTCTGGGTTTAGTCCTGGTTTAGTGGCAATAAGTGGAATAACCTAAAAAAAAAAAAAAAAAAAAAAAAAAGCCCAAATTGTGTAAAACAGTTAAATCTCTCTGTGTAATCCATTTATTTCAACAAAGTAACTGTAATCCAATTACCACTCACTGAAACAGTAACTGTAACTGAATACAGTTACTCATCATTTGTACTCTGATTACTCTGGTACATGTAATCTGTTACTCCCCAACACTGTACAAGACAAATCCACAGTGATTTAGTGTCTGACGTCATTTAAAGTGTCAGTATCAGTAAACGTTGTGTACAGGGATTTAGAATCAAGTCAAATGTACAAACAGAAATCAAAGTGACAAACGTCCATGGAGATGTTTTGAGCTCAATCAGCAGCATTAAAACAGACACACATGACTCAATTCATGTTCCACGTTTCCTCGTCTGGACTTCTCCTTTACAGGGAGGAAACTGAATGTTTCCAGTCTCTGGGAGGAAGAGTGGGAACAGCAAGTGCAGGGACGGCGAGCACCAGGAGATGGCGCTGGTTCAACACTTCACAGGATTTAACAGTGTTTCTGTGAAACATGTTTCACCTCCAGCAGCAGTTTAGTTGTTTTCTCTCTTTGACTTCTACGGGGGATGAACTGTGACACTTGACATATTTACATCACCATGTTCCTTTTATTGTTGTGGAAATGATAAATGGTCCTAAAACAGCGTCTGAACGTGTTGGATCAGTTTCACTTTCGTTTTGACTCTCTCCCTTCGCTCTCTGCGGTAAATCGCTGCAGCTTCACGTCCCGTCACACTGAGCCGCGTCCCGCTCATCAAAACTCCTGCGCGTCACATCAGGTTTGTCACGTTGCTTTGTTCACTTTTACAGTGTCATGTTTTTGTGTTTTGATGGACAGTTGTCCGTGTGGGAGTTTGGCTGCTGGAGGTTTGTGGTTTGATTATGCTCAGAATCTTACAGTTAATCGTCAGGAGGGTTTGAAAAGGGCCCGGGACAGATCGCTCAATGACCAGACATGCATGAAGGATCTAAAACCGTCTGCAGGCAGGTTTGTGATGAGGACAATTTAGAACATGAGAGGGGAAAAAAACAGCTTTTTCATATTTCATTTCCTGAA